TAGTATTTTGATTCTAGCCACACTGGATCATTTCATCCCAAAATTATTTATACATTTTCTGAAAGCCCTTGAAATTCTGCATCGTATAAGGTAATACTTCAAAAGACTAAAACACCAGCGAAAAAAGTTTGTCCATAGTACAAACGTTGGGGGGTCATGACCATCACTATTAATTCGGCCCCTAATCAGGATACTAAATATTTTATGTTCATCGAAATCAGCAATATGACTTGAGATTCGTGATCAGCATAAAAAACTGATTATAAAAACGTTGTTTCATTGAATGCAAAGCTAATCAAATAAAAATTATCCCATCAAGTACAATTAACTCAAGTGTATTTCCAAGTATATATTTATAGCTATATTTATAAGCCTGTCTAGTCTCTCATGAGAAACTATGGAAAGAAATTTTATGTCTCATTTAAAAGCACTGGACTCATATCTTCAAAATTACCTATGCAGCTTTTTTAGATTGCTTTTATGATTGTCCTCGACGCTATTTAGAAAACCATATAAAACTGAATAAATTGTGGCCATATCGGGTAGGTTTTATTACTCTAGTTGATTCTAATATATATAGAAATGAATAGCATATTCAGAACCAGCGTGAAAAACTACGCGGAATAACATATATTTTGAACAAAGTTTTTTTCGATGAAAACTTGACTTGTGGGGGACCACAGGCAAAATTTGAGAAAAGTGCTTTTGAAGGGGATCACAGGTCGATTTTTTATTGAAAAAACCTTTTTCCAAAACATGTTATTCGACGTAGTTTTTCACGCTGATTCTGAATATGCTATTCATTTCTATATTAGAATAAACTAGAGTAATAAAACCTACCCGATATGGATACAATTTATTCAGTTTTATATGGTTTTCTGAATAGTGTTGAGGATAATCGAGTTTTCTCAAAAATAAAAAGCAATGTACAACAAATGCATACATAATTTTGAAGCTAAGAGACCAGTGATTCTAAGTGAGGCATAAAATTTGATTCTACAGGCTTATAAATATATTTATAAATATATACTTGGAAATATACTTGAGTTAATTGTACTTGGTGGGATAATTTTTATTTGATTAGCTTTGCATTCAATGAAACAACATTTTTATAATCAGTTTTTATGCTGATCACGAACCTCAAGTCATATTGCTGATTTCGATGAACATAAGATATTTAGTATCCTGATTAGGGGCCGAATTAATAGTGATGGTTATGACCCCCCAACGTTTGTACTATGGACAAACGTTTTTCGCCGGTGTTTTAGTCTTTTGAAGTATTACCTTATACGATGCAGAATTTCAAGGGCTTTCAGAAAATGTATAAATAATTTTGGGATGAAATGATCCAGTGTGGCTAGAATCAAAATACTAGAAAATCTGGATTTTAGCTAATGATCATTTTTGCTCGTGTGTTGGAATTATCGCTTGACGAATGGCATTATAGAATATAATGAGTTACCAAATTTTGTAGAAAAAAACATTTCTGCATATTTTGAAATGTCCCCGAGCTCGGACGGATGAGCGGATGCAGAGAAAAGTACAAAATACTAAGATCACCCTAAACAAATGACTCTTTGGTCAGGTCCCGAAGGGGTATCACTTGTATACTGGGCCGTTTTTCATAGGGAAGTCAGAAAGAGCTAATATTTTGGATTTGTCTATAGTTTGGTTAGACCTTTCATTTGAGATGCCTAAATCGAAAATCAAAATTTTGTCGACGACCGGTTCCAGATAAAGTTGCTAAGTGCCCTCACGGACCCTCTCTTAAAATCTTTAGCTAAACAGTTACTGAGGAAACAACCATCATCAGGAACAAAAAGCATTAAGTTCTAGCATGAGAATGCAAGAGTATATGTGAAAGATATTGTTATTAATTATCTTCAAGAAACAAAAATCTAAGTTATGGCTCATCCATCATCCTCGCCTGACTTTACTCCTTTAGACTTTTGCCTGTTCAATTATCTAAAAGATAGACTTGAATCACATCTAAATGTTACAAACTTGACGAAATCAATCACCAAAGAGCTCAATTCAATACTTGTTGGTAAATATAAAAAGACACTTCAAAAAATGGATTGAAAAAATGAAACTTTGTATTGAGCATCTTTTCTATGAATAAAGCTTTTTTTAAATAACAGAACTTTTTCGATGTCCTAAATATTAGTTGTAAGAAGATTATCAGACTACTGAATCTGCCACTGGATGGCACCCCATAATTGAAATCATCGTTGTTATACATTCATTTCGAATGCAATATGTTATGTATGTATATTCTTTCCAGACAGCGCGCTCGCACACAGCAAAAAAAAGAGTGAAATAGATTATATAGCAAGATATGAACGATTACACCAAAAAAACACACCGTGAAATCGAACATACTTCGAAAGAAAAGAATGAGAGGTAGGCGCAGGGAAAGCCAGAATATCAGAGAAATAGAACAAAAAAAATCAATACATGCACAACAAAAATTACCAAATTACATGTACTTTAAGTGTGCATGAATGTGATGGTAAAATTATGATGTATAATTTCCAGTATAAGAAGAAATATCGCGCAACCACAAAAAAAAGAGACAGACAAAATGAGTATAGAATGTGCAAGAAACAAAGAGAGAGAGAGAGAGGGAGACCAGAAAACAAACAACAAAGACATAGACAGACAAACAGAGAAAAAAAGAAAAATTTTCTTTTCACTTAGGTAATGAAAACACACATGATATACAAACCGAACACACACACACTGTTATTTTTCAGGCTATAGAAGTCGTGTCAAGTCAAGAATAAATTACGCACAAATAATCTCAATGAAATATCTAATTGATTTTACGTATATGTATATATATGTGTGTGCAAAAAGCAACGACGTTTTCTTGTTCATCCGTATTTCCGAAAGAAAACAAAAAGAAAAAAAAAAAAAAATTTCATCATAGTCTATGATCTACATGTGTGCACAGAGAAAAGAAAAAAAATTATTTATAAGAGCCGATTCTCATGGATGAATTTCGTACGTACTCACTCATACAAAAGAGAAAAAAGAAAATAAATGCCTTTCAGGCATGAGCAACAGCACAGCAGTGAAAGAACCAAAAAAAAATCGAGAGAGAGAGAGAGAGAGAAAGAGAGATCCTAGTTTGTGACTTACATCCACAACACATATAAACACACACATATACTATGTGTGTTTAGTTATTTGATTCATTTATGGGAAACGAAAAAAAAAAGAAGATAGACAGACTCATGCGAGATACAATCACTAAAAAAAAAAAAGAAGAAAAACATAAGAGGCTAGGACAATGAACAAACATACATAAGGAACAGAGAAAAAAAAGAAGAAATAAATCACAATTTGAGTTCATTGGCGATTTTACTCGCAATATTTTTGAAACCAATTGATGTGCCTGATATACGTTTAAATCGAACACCATTCAATGATAAACGTGGTAATTTGCACACTTCCATTTCCCATGATACAACTGAATCTGTATTTGGATCACCATGTACACATAATAAAAGAAATTTTTCTCTTTGTTCATAATCACAATTATTTATATCGAGAACCTACGAGAAATAAATTGATCAAACGAAAATAAATTGTAGTTTTTCTTTACTTTTCGAATTTCTTTCATCATATCAGATGGATCCATTGAACTTGTTGTTTTCATTGACCATGTAAAACGAAGTGAACGTGGTTTTATATCTCCTGCACCACCAACACCAACACCACCACCAACAGCAAGACTATCATTTGTTGTATTTCCTGCTGTACTTGTTGTCATACTTGTATTATTTAATTCTGTTGGGCGACGATAAGATGATGATGCACTTGCTGTACTACCAGTCATACTATTTCCAATAGTACCTCCAGTTGTTGCCGATGGTATACCTGATTCACGAATTGATTTTCTAGATAATAAAAAGCAACAAATTTACAAAGTCAATCATGAAGGCATTAAGAATCCAATAAAAATAACAGAAAATTAATATATATATATATATTCATTTCTTGTGCGAAACATGATCTAAAATGAGTGTTAAACTATATTGGCAAAAATTTGAACTCATATCTCGATCACTCTATAGATTAGCATTGTAAGTGGTATGGGTTTTTTTCCTTAACAATCAGACCGACATGAATCATTTCACAAACGACAAATCAACATCAGGTTGTCATATTTACCTCTGAATCACTACTGAAATTACGTCAGACTCCTGTATCACGATTATAACGCTTTTTTAAAATAGGAATCGTGAAAATATATGGCGAGAAAATGCAATTCATTTTCGTCCAACTTGCTCCTCAAAACCACCATAAACATGCCAATGTTGTTTTCACCTACTGACAGAATATGTGGTCTGTCACATAGATATTGAGGTTTTATCTATATTCATAAGATTTCTCTCTCGTGGCATCTATTAATTGATAGAAAATTTAGTAGAACTACAAATTCTACATTAATTTTGTACACTAACTAAACTATAAATAATACCAAAATGAAAATAAATTACAATGATGATTTAATAATTTCATTTTGTTTTCGTACTAAAACTTCATATTAAAATAAGTTTATAAAATTTATTAAGCTTATTTTGATGAATATTCACACTTAATAGAACAAAAAATCTATACTGCTCCTGAAAGCAAAAGTCGTAACTATTAGATTGGACTGATCATTTATATCATTACAACTGTACTACAGATCGTAAAAGATGCCTTAGCGCAGCATCCACTCTCTTCGTCACAAGCGTTATTGATAAACGATCAAAGAGCCTATGTCAATAACGTCTCGTTATAATTCTTTAATACATTTCTAGAGGATTAAGTACAACGATGGTGAAAAAATATATCCGAAAATACATCAAAATAAAACAATTTCTATGTGATTAGCAAGAGCAACTAAATCGTGTTTCACATTTAAATCTCGTAGAGATTTTTCTAACAGTTTTCGTTGTTTTCTTCTTCGTTTAGTATTACACGCCAAATTATGGCGAGTGTTTTGTTACCTTCGTGCAAATTTAGATGAAAGCTTGCTGAGAAATGATTGAGCTCCACTATTTGCTGCACTCGACATCATTGCTCCTTGTTGATGACGATTATTCACATCAGTATTAGCCATTGCACTACTAGTCGGATTTCGTGTTGATGCTCGATGTTCAGTATTAAATCCACTAGTAGTTGCTGATGTATTTGTTGTTGGATAATGTTGACGTGTAGGAATAGTATGTATAGTTTTACGATCAGGTGCAGAGCGATTCAATGATAAACCATCATTACCACTACCAGTACGTGTGTTAGTCGTAGATGCAAGTGGTGCATTGGTTGTAGTAGGTGAAGTAGTTGAAGCTTGTACCGTCACAGCACTATAATAAGATATAGAGAGAAATGATAAAGAGCAAATTAACAAACAAAAAAAGCACGATATTAAAACAAAATAATATAGACAATCAATAAGTAATGGCATTATCCATGCGTAATGATAATGTTGTTTTAGGTTAGTCTTTTAAAAATGGCGTTATTAAGTATTGAAGTGCATAAAAATGTGTGATAAAGACAGAAAATTTCATTTCTTTGTTTGTTTTTTTTTCTTAATCATTAAGGTGTTATATCGATGAAATCAAATGAATAATTGATAATTTCATGGAAAATTCTTACTTGAAATTATATGGTTGATGATGATTCGAATAAATTCGAATCGTGTCACTATTCTCATTAGTAGTCGATGATGATACAACTGGTGATGTTATTCTAGGTCTGATATTTAATTATTATTGATGATAGGGACAAATAATTCTTTGTTTTTTTTTCTAAATAAAAAAAAATACCTACCTAATTTTCTCTGGAATTTTTGACATTTGTGGCTGTTGTTGTTGTGTTGATGATGAACTAGTTGCAGATAAACTTGCTGATTTTGGATTATATGTTTCACGTAATGGTCCACGTATCATATGATGTGGTGCTTGAGATGATGATGTTGTCGATGATGGTTCCATGCCAGTACGATTAAAACTAGATAATAAAAATTTAAAAAGAAATTTTTTTTTTTTTATTTATTCGAACGATATTATTAGCAAACCTTTGAGCAAAACGAGGCATACGACTTTCAGTAATTGTACTAATATAAGCAAAGCATACATAACAACAAATAGACAACAACAAATAATTTAAATACATACGTTTCTCCTGAATTTGTATTAGAAGGTTTTGTTTTGTCATTATTATTATTAATTGGTTCAGCTTTTTTTATAGATCCACTATCATTTGGTACAGATTCGAGTGTATCTCGTCGACGAACAGCTGCATTTGGTAAACGAACTGTTTGTGCACGAGATTTATCTGTTGTTATATTTGTACGATTTGAAATAATATTTGATGCTGGTTGACCACTATTTGTATTAGTTTTTGTTGTCATAGGTCCACTTGGATTTGATGTTGATGCATCAATACTTCCGGATGCAAGTAAAGAACTAGGAACACCATTTGTTGTTGTACCATTAACTAATGAATAATCAGTTGTAGGGGCTGTTGCTATAGCTGTTACTGGTCGATGTTGTTTATCAATAGATGGAAGATTTTCTTTATCATTTGCTGTTGATGGTCTTACACTTGATGATACAATTTTTGATGGTAATGTAGATTGAATATTTGAAGCATCTGTAACACCTTTATTACTTGATATTTGAATAGTTGGATTGTCTGATATATCGGACTATAAGAGATAATAAAAACAAAAAAAAAGAGAAATTATATATTCAATAGAAACTTATTTACATCAGTTGTTCGAAGACCAAGAAGAAGATAAAATGCCATCATATCATCATATTTACGAGATGTTAATGAATCAATGATTTGATCTCGAGTATAACTACCATCTCGTAAAATTGTTTCTAAAAAAAAACAAAAAAAACAATTTTTAATTTTTGTTTCTTGCTTAATTAAGAGTATTGCCGTCTCCCAACTTCCGGAGTTTCTGGAAAAAAAAACGTCAGCAGAAAAAAATTCTCATTTTCAGGGCAGATAGATCTTGATGAATATAGCCAAAGTTGTCACTCTAGAAGCTGTCTTAAATGAGATACTGAGATTATCATAATTCTTGTTTCTTCGACAGGCTATTTTACAGACACTAGACATTACTTAGGATGAGTATCTTTTTATTTTTTGTTCTTCGAATAAAGAAAAGATCAAAATGTCGAAGGTACACTAAAAAAACAAATCAAATACCCATCCCAAACAATGTATCGTATATGTCAAAAAAAGTTCCAGCTCGATCAGATGTGTCAGACTGAAGAAATGAAAAGTGTCTCTGACTTACAATTTTGGTTACGTAAATTTGATTTCTTCTCGAATTGTTTTTTTTTTGAAGTTTAAAGATAAGTTTTGAATTCTGATTCTGTGAATAAGGGAAAGTGCAATGGGATATACAAAACATCAAGAGGATATGCTTCATTAGATCTTCTATTCAGAGTTATAGGCATTTTATTTAGCCTCCAATTTAGTATATATCAACAAATCGAATGACGATATTTCGCTCTAAGACTTTACCCACAGACAGATCTAGTTGTCAGTAGAATATCCTGAGAATTGCAATTCAAAAGAATTTTTATTTCTGAAGATATTATAATTCCAAAAAAAAAAAAGAAAATTCCAACATCTTTTGCTGTAATATGAACGATCTGGGAGATTGTAATATCTCGAGAAGAAAGTATTCTTTTAAGCTGAAATATTCAGAACGCTCTACTGATAAATATACGTGCCCGTAGGCAAAATCTCAGATCGAAATACCGACATTCGATTTGTTGGAATATACCCTGCCGGAGGCTAATGTTTATAACTCTGAATTCAAAAGCAATTGATCAGCTGAAAACGTTCTCTCCTTATTAAACAGATACAATACAATGAACATAAAAAGAACTGAAATTGTTAGGTCACGAAAGGGGTATGAAATACTCTTTAATACGTCTATACCTATTCGATAATTATCATTAAAATCTTGACTTGGCTCTTCATATGGTTTTAATTCATCATTCTCATAACTAATATTTATCCATTTATCTTTCATAATTGACTAAAAATAAACAAAACAAAACAAAAACTTTAAATTTAAAATTACTCATTTCCTAAATTAAATTTACTTCAAGAGCAGAGCGTCGAGTTGGATTTAAAACAAGAAATTTTTTTAATAAATTTTCACAATCAGTTGACATATAAAATGGTATTCGATATTTACCACGTAAAACACGTTCACGTAATTCCTACAAAATATTTATGAATTAAAATCAATGAAACAAAAAATAAGAATAAACACAAAATAAAAATTTCAATATTTTACTTTGAGATTTTGTCCATCAAATGGTAATGAACCACTAACAAGTGTATATAAAATAACACCTAAACTCCAAACATCAACTTCAGGTCCATCATATTTTTTTCCTTGAAATAATTCTGGTGCAGCATACGGTGGACTACCACAAAATGTATCTAATTTATTTCCGGGTGTAAATTCATTACTAAAACCAAAATCAGCTATTTTTATATTTAATTCTGCATCAAGTAATAAATTTTCTGCCTAAAAGAACAAGTAAGATTATTTGATTATAAATCTTATAATAGATTAATTTCTTCTTCTTCTTTTTTTGTTTACTTTAAGGTCACGATGAACAATGTGTTTTTGATGAAGATATTGAACAGCAGAAACGATCTATAGAGAAATAAATCTTAATATTAAACAATACCAAAGATAAGTAATTTCCTGTTTTCATTCCGGTAACTAATATCTTATAAAAATCTACAGCGTAATTATTAGTAACACTTTAGTAGCTTGTTGTTTTTTTTTTTGCGCTTTTTAAGAATTATTCATTTGAAAAGAAAACATACTTGTCGAAATTTTGATCTTGCTTCTTTCTCTTTCATACGACCATGGGCAACAAGATAATCAAATACTTCACCTAAACGAAAAAGAAAAAAAGAAGAATATCAAATCATAGAAAAAGATTTATTTATTTTATCGAGTATCTTTACCTCCACTTGCATATTCCATAACAAGATAAAGAGTTTTTTCGGTTTCAATTACTTCAAAAAGTTTGACTAAAGAAAAAACAAAAAACATGAATAAAGAAACATTTGTCATTGCTTTTTTTTTTCTATTGATAAATACCAATATTTGGATGATCGAGTCCTTTCATTATTTTAACTTCACGAAATAACTGATATAAAGCAAAAATATAATCAAATTTAATGCATACGAAAAAAGAAAATTTTTTTTTATTTTCAAATTTTATACAAACCTTTTGTAATGATGTTGGATTAAGTTGAGCTTTATCGATGATTTTTATAGCAACTTCACGACTAGTTGGGATATGTCGAGCTAATTTGACTTTAGCAAAATTACCTTTACCTATGGTCTAGATGACAAATATATGAGATTTATTTTTATGTTTATATGACACAAAAATAAACAAATAAATAAGACTATTAACCTTGCTAAAGCGATATTTGCCAATATGTGGTTCATTGGGATCGCTACGCATTTTGGTCGACTGTAAACGTGTCGAGGATAAAGACGACGATGTTGGGATAGTCGATGATGTCGTATTATTATTATTATTATTATTGTTTTGATGATGATCGTTATTTGTGGGTTTCTAAAATAGAAAAAAAAATCCGAAGTTTTCACACATTTTGACATCAGACTATTGGCACGATTAGCATATTTGTCTGAAATGTAAAGGGTCACTTATGTTCCTCCGAATATAGCTTGCTCTCATATGCCTTTCTTTCTTTTTTTTTTCTCTTATTTTTTTGGTTGTATTCGTCGTTTTCTTCTTCTTCAATATCGCGTCGTCATCGTCGTCGACATTTCGATGCAACAACAGAATATAAAAAGAATAGAACGAGAAAGAAAGAAAGTATTTCCTGATATTTGACGTTTTTCGCGTGTATCAACAAGACGCACGAACTAATAATACAAGTTTTTCTTTTTCTTTTGTCAACTGTGAATAATAGGTTTGACGAACATACATACATACATACATACATACTCATAGACACATCACCATTTGGAGTAGGTGTAGTCAATCGGTTCTTTTTTTCTATTCTCCTTCTGCACACGTTCTTTCTATTACAGTTTTTTTTTGTCATATTCTTTCTACTTATATATACGAAACACTTAAACGGTCAGACTAAAAGACACAAACAAGGAATGAAAGGTTTGCTTATATATTTGAATGGCATCATATTAGTCGAACTGTTCAAAGTAATAAAATAGGAACTGTTGGTGACATATATCATTCATTGTATATTTCAATACTTGAGTAGAAGATGATTACTCAAATTAAAGAAAAAAGAAATTCTAATACATAATGACACATAGTCATTGATTTATCCAACATGTTATATGTGGTTTTGTACGTTTTACATATATATATATATATAAAAGAAAAAGAATAATAAATGCCAATCACAAAGTGTTACATCATGTGGAAAGAGAAAAAGAAGCGCTAACAATATTATCATCGACAAAATAGTTGAGAAACTCATTCAATCAATCAATTTTAGAGTGACATTCTTTTTTTTTTGGACAAAATACTTAATCACGCAATTGTATTTATTTGTAAAACAAAAAAAAAGAAAAGAAACAAACTTACTCCGTCAGCACTATTGTTATCTCTCATCGCTGTTGACGTTGAAGGTGGATTGAGTTTGACAATATTCGTTTTAGGATACTGGTTAGGTGTTGACATATTCTTATCCAATATGTACTATCCTTATTATAATAACTTCTACTATTGCAATAAGTATTTTTTTTTCTTCTTTTTTTTTACTAGAACGTTGATTGATATGCACTGTTCACCAAGTCATGGATATTCAGTATTAATGGGAATTTGTGTCTAATCGATATACAGTTATCCCATTTGAGAAAAAATCTCATAATCTAAAGTTAAAAGAAGGAAAAAAACGAATAATTTAAATGTCTACAATATTAAATATAAATATATGTATATATTTTTGTGTTGATTCATAAATACTTATTGATAATTTAATCTGAATGAAGAATGTAAAATGAAAAGAAATAATAAATGAAATTTATAAATAGTATATATATATATTGTTTATTTTTTCTCTTTTCTCTTCATGATCATAATCATCTTGTTCGTCAACGATCAACCCATGCATGCATGCTTATTGTACAGGTATCGGCCATCTTGAGTAAACGAATCTGCACCTCTCGAATGACAAACACAGGTATTTAGATATAGAATAAATATAATAAACAAGTACAAAAAGAAAATTATTTTACAAAGTTTTTTAAATTTTATTGAAAGAAAAAATCGTATAATAAAAAATGATTTCAAGAAAATATATTTTAGTAATTAAATTACGTGGATAGATGACACTAGTCGATGTGTGTGTATATGTGCTTCAATTATAAAGATCTATCAAAAGAAAAAAGATCATATGAAAACTTCGTTTTCTTTTATTAATTATATATACTTTTATGATGTTATTGTATCAGAAAATAATCGATCGTATGCATCGAAAAATGTTGTATCAATATCGAAAAAATCAGAAAAAGAATCTTCTTTTGGACTTGGTTGTTTAGATGATTGAATTATTGTAATTGATTGATTATTTGATTGAGAACGACAATGGGTACGTGACCGTTTTATTGTTTGATTATTTTTAGATGATTTTGTTGTATGATGACGAGGTCGTTTAGATGAGACTAGAATAAACAGTAATCACAAACATAATTCATATACACTAAAAACTCGGATATATATTTATTTGTTTTGAGAAGAAACACATTTGTTAATATTCTAAGGAACCGATATATCATCTTATGAAAGTAGATCTTAATGAGACAAGAAATTTTCAAAATTATAAGCAACAATGAGTTATTATTTCGAAGTTATGACTATTGTTTCCAATAGAACGGTACTTGATCATGAAGAAAATCAATAAATTTCGATCTAAGTTTGAGCTAAAACCAATATTTCTCTATCTCAAGATAAGAAATATCGAAGCAAATGTAAGATATGATGTACTATTAAGATCTATGTTAGCATACAAACTGAGATTACATTCGATCTCGAATCTAAGATTGAATACATCTAATAGCGAATTGAGAAGTAAAGTGATGTTAAAACTTAAATTTATCTGTAAACTCCTTATTGTAATAGAGGCATTGGAAGCTTCTCTTATGGGAAGAGCTAAGAATACGACTTAGGTGTCAGTATTATCAAAGAGAAGACTCATACTACTAAGATTAATTTAATAGTATCTAAGAAGCTTTGCTTGAAAAACTAAATGTGTTTAAAGGCAATAGATGCCCTGAGATTTTTAATATGGTGGAAGGCAGATCTTTTATTTCACGGAGTGGATTAGATCGATGTCGGATTCAGATTCTTATTAATACACTGAGAGGTAACATTGGTATTATATTTAATACAATTATTAATGAACGATTAAGTAAAGCTTAGTCTGGTTATGGACAGTATTCTATTGAAGCAGTTTTCATGTATAAAATCATCCATAACTCGGGTCTAATCTCAGTTTGGGTGCTAAAATATACAATTGATTTTTTTTTTGAAGTCTTAGTAAAATTACGTTTTATTGATGTTTGCTTTATTTTCTTCTTATTTGATAATGAAGATGAGCAAATTGATGAATCATTGTCAAGTGAAATACGTGTAATATTATCATCCATAGATGAATGTTTTATATTTGTATTTAGTGTTTTTAATTTCTTAGTTGAACATTTACATGTTGGAATATTAAGTTTTGTTAAGAATCGTTCCGTTTCACTTTTTGTTAATTCATATTCATCATTCATAGTTAAAGATGATTTTTCTAAACATTTTTCATTTATATCATTATTTACTTTGATATTATATGCTAAAAATAAGATTTTCATATATTCATGATTTGTTCATAGAAATTATATTACATACAATCATTTATTAATAATGAATTATTCATAAATGATCGTGTTTTTACTAAAGATGGTATTTTAGTTGTTGAATTATTTGTCTCAATTGTTGTTATTGATTGACTTAATTCAGTTAGAATAGTCGAATTTGTTGATGTTTTATGTAATTTAGAATTTTCTTGTTCATCATGACTCTTTGATAATAAATCAGATTTCGATATATCTTTTGTATTACATTTTGATGATGATAATATTTGTAAACTCCATTGTGTAGCAACATCAATTTTATTTAAATTTAATTGATCACCCATACCAGATGTTTGATCATGATTTAATTTTTGTAAATAATATGGTGTTATTGTAGGAATAAATATATCTTTTGTTGCTAGAGAATCCATTGACATTATATTATGTATATGATTATTTTGAAGTAATTCTAATGTATGAGCTTGTTGTGGTACTATTTGTATATTAGAAATAGGTTCTTTTTGATCAATATAAATAAGATTATCAAGAATATAAGGAGATAAAGGTATTGATGATGATAGTTTATTTCTGATTGATTGTTGATATAGATTTTCTGAAGGTATTTTTCTTGTTGATTGATTTTGTTGTGAACAATGATAGATTTGTCTTGCTTGTTTATTTGATCGACATGTCGATCTATATAATATAGCATTCGAGCTATATGAAGGATAACTTGATGGATTATGATGATTGAAATGTTTTTTATGATATTGTAATTGATGAAAAATTCGACGTTCTTCTTTACGTTTCATATCATGTAAGTCATGTTGAAAATCATCAACTAAATTTCGATGATGTTTAATCTAAATAATAAAATAAAACTTTATAAAGCCTTTGATATATTAGAATAGTCGGGGCGTTTTCCATTCTGTCGTATTCTTCATCAGTTATAAGCGAAGGGAGAACGGAAAGGCATCTATTAATTTTCTAAAATTAGTCAGAGTTTTTTTTCGTAGTCTCGCCGACAAAATCTTAGTTTCAATTCATTTTTGCCCAATACATCCATTAGTAAACAAGTTTATTTCACTTATCCCATATGTGTAGAATGTAAAAGAATCAGACAATCAGTGGTCAGGAGACTATTCTTAGAACAATACAATCAATCTATCCTAATATATATTAGTACAATGTTTAACAGTATTATTTTGTGAAACACGATCGATAAGGAGTGTTGAAGTATGTCGGGTAGAAATTTGAATCTCACCCCGCATCACAAAATAATTATAGATCATTTTGTGGAAAGCAATGCGCTCTCAAACAAGAAAGTAAAAAAAAAACGAAGAGATCTTTCAATTAAAACACAACAAAGTTTTACGGAATATGTTTCTATTTTTAGGAAGACCTCTTCATCTGGAATCCGTGCGAATGTGTACTTTATTATCTAAGGAATTTTTTCGGAGTATGCTACAAAAGAGTACTGAAGGGCTGTACGATATGTTTTTAATAAAGAAACGCATATTCCCAATAGACTGTTCCTTTCTATTTACTTTTTCTTAATCGAAACTGACACATCACTATGATGACGAAAGCAAAATATTGAACTTAGATTTTATGATGGATAGAAATACTCAAAAACAGCAATAAATAATAGATTTTGTTTTTAAGAATCGCTTTTCAGCAGAGAGTCTGCTGCTGCATTTATCTAATAAGGGAAATTCTAATGTGCCGAAGGTTTTATAAAGATATATCCGTTTTATTACATGATGATGATGATGATGATGATGACAACAATTTGATGACAATGAATGTCGTCTATTTCGAATCGAATGTAAAGGATTACAATAATGATGAGAAGAACTATTTGCTGGTGTAGAACTTTTTAAAGTATGATTTGTACTTTTAGAATAAAGCATTGTTAATTGATGACTTTCACTATCATCGATTGGAATAATATATTGTTGATTTTTATTATCAATATCAATTCGTATACATTTAGCTAGAGTATGTAATGCAATCATAACATCATTAATATCTTTCCGTGAAAGATTTAAATATGTATCGGATATAGTTTGATTTGAAACAATTGTATATTGACTATTATCATTTTGTTGAGAATCTAATGTAGTAATAGGTTGTGTATCAGTTGCTCGATTTTGATTTAAATGACGATTTTGTTTTATTGTAAATGATGGTTGAATTAAATGTGTTGTCATTATTGAACCTGAAGGAAGTCCAGCTGTAATTAATGATGGATTTGAACCTGATATATTATCATATTTGTTAGTAGTTTGTAATGAAATTTTATTCATTCGAATAAATTTGTCTTTTTTTTTCTGTATCCGAAAAGCGAAGAATCAGAAAAAAAAACGAAGAATGAAAGCGCGAAATGATTAGAAAATAACTTTTAAGAAAAATAGATCACAACAGCTATGAGAAGTTATTGAACGCGCGTGGAAAATCTCAAATTATTTTTTAGATAAAAAAATAAAAAATAGTAAAACAAACATTTTATTTTCAATGAAAATTTGATTGTTGTAAAAAAAAAATATATTCTTTTTTTCTCGCATAATTATTGTTCTATTCTTTCATTTGAATATTTGTCTTTAAAAAAAAACATAATCATCTGAGTTTTTGAATTGTTTAATTTTCTAATACATTTTGTTCAGTTATTTAATCTATTGAAATCATTCATAAAAAACATTGATTATAGTATGTTTCTTAAGAGACAGAATTGTGCTATAATCATACGTACTATTGATGAATATTCGAAAGTTTTCTTTATAGAATAATACTGTTTATCTTACTATCATACGTGTAGATACTAGTAATGATAACACATAACTTATAACGTCGTGATGCAACATACGGATAATTTGATTCAAGATGATATCTGAGATTTAATGATTGATTGTTATGTTTTTGCATCGTACTGGTCAAACAAACTATTATAGAATGTCATTTTTTCTAAGAGGTTATTATGCTAAGATTCTGACAGACGCTACGATCTATGTTATTTGATATGTGATAGATATGTATTTAGATTAAAGGCATCCCTCTGATTTTCGGATTTCTGGAAAACGGCTAGACCGGAAATTGTGAAACTTTTAGCGTATATAGATCTCGACTAGTAGAACATAAGTTATTGTAGACTCAGAATTCCCAGATGCTTTCTTCTATGAGGTATGGGATACGCAAAAGTAAAAAATGACCTGAATTTTCCCTTTCCCCGCATACAGTCATCAATCATCTTTTATAGCTGAATTCTTTTGTAATAGCTAGAACCAAATTGTGGTATTCTTTGAAAAATAGTGTTTCTTCCGCTGAGGAGAATTAAGATACTGGAATCCCTATAAAAAAAAAACATGTTTTATTTTGCCTCGAGTAAATTTTGTAAGGTCTGCCAAAAATCATCAGAATATTATTTTAAGAAAAAAATGAATACACGTAAATTTGATCTTAGTTATCACACACAAAAAATTGCAGCTCAATCGGTCTAAGCGTCTGGAGAGACAAAGGGAAAAACTTGAATTTTACTGTTCAAAATTTGTTTTTGAGAAAAACGGGAAACAATGTAGAGTTTTTGCTAACTAAACTTCGTTTCGAATTATTTTACATTTAAAAACAATTTTTGTACTTAGTAGATAGACACTACTTCAAGTTATACAATAGCCATAGATAATCAAAAGTTTTGGATCACGAAAGAGTCGAAGGTGCGCTTAAATCGAACGGTATTAAGCTCAATCAACACTTGAATAAAACCAAGATAACATTCTAGAAAATAGGTTTATCGTTTCATCTATTGGTTTACGTTATTGAGGGGTATTGACCGATGAAAACTAAATTTCAATGTATAAAAACAAAAATAATACTAGATCATATTAGTTCTTGTTGATGAATTATTCAAGAGTCATGAAACCATGAAGATTCTTTTTACAGTACGTCAAAATAAAATTGAAATATTATATAAATTCTATTTCAGATATGTTAAGATGGTTAATCACCATAATCTTATAATGCGAAACAGTAAAAACTATATAATTTACTCTAACAATCGTGTGTCTAGATGAAAACAAAATTTACTACACATATAATTATTTTATACTCATGAAGATCAGTAATCGGATTGAGTAACAAATATTTCTGGCAGTTATTATAGATAGAGATCATTGAATGTGTTCTCATTCTAGGAAAACTATTTAATTCAAATGCATTCTTACTACGCCAAAATTTGTATATCAGCTGAAGTAATTGAACTTTATTTGATCTATCTATAAATAATATTTATAATGAACTGTCATAATAATATCAAAAAATGAGATAAGACAAATATACAGAACACATTTCATTGTTGAATAGAAACTTTGAATAGTGTAAATTTTGCAGAAAAAAAACCAAAGAGTCATATAAGAATAACAAATAAATTTTATAGTTTTTCAACAGTAATATATATTTATATAAAGATATATATGTCAATGATATGTTTCGTGATTGAATTTTTATTTGCGAACGAAAATCAAGTAATACGAATATTTCAAATTCTTATACATCACCCACATATTGACTTTATTGATCTTGGTACAAATATTGAAACTTTATGTCATGTATGCAATTGCTCTAAATCGTTTTGTTTCGGCTATTGATTGTTTTTACTCATTCAGATCGATCTTTAAGATTATCCATTGATGCAAGAAATATTGAAGGACAAGGAGTATTTTTATACAGCAAATAATCACATAAGCATCGTATAAGAAAAAAATTGCCCACAGATAATCCATGTATAGTTAAAACTACAATGTTTGATGAAGTTCTTGCGAGATTAAACCAAGCGAAAATGGTAGTCATACATTTGATACAAAAGATTCTTTTTTTTATTCAAATGGAATGGCTCAAGTTCTTGTCAATTGTCAAATCACTGTGAACATATATTGTAACAAAATGAAATATATCGGATGAAAAAATTTTTCAATTTTGTTGTAATTCTTTTTTATTTGTTGGAATGATTGAAATCATTTGATATTGTAATAAAAACCCATATATATTGATTTTTGTCATTTTAGAAATAGCTCGATAGCATAAAAATAGTTCGATATACGGCATTGTTTTCTTTGGTTCTTGAGCTTTTTTTTTCTATTTTCATCATCAATATATGTGACTAAGGTTCTATTACATCGAAAAATTCAACAGATCATATTTCATAATTTACATAGGCTGAATGAAGTACAAAGGAAAGTACAATGAATGGAAGTATATGTGACAGTTATATATGGAATTATTTTGAATGCAAAGATCATCTTAATTGAATAGTGTTTATGCAAACATGATTTTCTGTTACATTATTTATAGTATAAACGATATTCGAGAAGTGTGTTGCGTCAACGACGATTCTATGAACAAATTACACTAGATTTATGTTATTAGTCAGAATAAGAAATAATGGATTACAACTAATACATAAAACTGCTATTTGTATTGATATAATAGTGATAGAAAACTCAATAAAAAACTTCATTTTATCTTCTTCTCATATTTTTGAAAATAGCTAAAAATATTACTTAAAATAGAAAGTGAGTAACATGTTGTTTTTATATTAGTCGTGCCATTTCTTAGGACATCTATTTTAAATAAAGCAACAAAAGAATTCGTACCAAGACGCAGCTTTGTTTTCTTTATAGGCAAGCATATTTAATGCTGTATATAAGTATCAATCAGTATCAAGTTACATTAGAGATTAGTTTATTCAAACTAATCTTTAATTCTGCATATAATGTGAAATTAAATATCATCCTAAAACCAAAGATACCCGCACGAGTTTATCTTATATAAAACCTATACTATCATCCATTGATTCATTAATTGAAAAATCGACAAGTTATCATGATAATAAAAAAAGTACTCATATTGCTCTTCTGCAAACTGCTTCTATGCATTTGCTTAACATCAGCACAATCTTTCAGTGAATAGAATAATTTAAATCCTCTGCTTTGTTTTTCAATTGCATATTTTTATATTTCAGCAACAACGACAACTGCATTGGTTTTACCTTCACAATGTTATGAATACACAATAATTAACGATGGAACCAGACATGTTAATGCTGCTGGTAGTAATAATTGCGACACAATATTCTTGTCTGCTTCTACTTGGATTCGTTTTATTGGTGAAAGTGGTACACAATTATCCACATCACCGACTAATCCTAATCAATGTGGTACACAAGTTACGGGATGGTATTCAGGACGTATGCCATTTGCCTCAGAAACGATAACAGATGGAAGAGTATGTTTTTCATGGGAGAATAATATTTGTCAATGGTCGAAAACAATAAGTATTACGAACTGTGGATCCTTCTATATCTATAAATTAACGATGCCTCCACTATGTGCCGCACGTTATTGTACGAATACACCAAATATTATCACAACAACTTCAACAACAACTACAACAACAACTTCAATAACAACTACAACAACAACTAATACAGCTATCATCTCTCCCCAATGTCATACTTACGCAATTATAGATGATCCATCAAGAAGTGTAAACGCCAATGGTTACGGCTCGCAATGCGATCAACAAAATCAACTCTTTTTCACTCCAAATTGGTTTCGATTTATTGGTTCAGGTGGCACTCAAATACCTACATCAGCAGCAAATCCTCATCAGTGTAGTACAAGTGCAGCAGGTTGGTACTCAGGCATCATGCCATCTATGCCAGATACTACTGTGCGTGGAACCGTGTGTTATTCGTGGAGTGTTAACTCTTGTCAATGGTCTAACGATATTCAGGTGACTAACTGTGGCTCGTTTTATGTCTATCAATTATCCAGACCTCCCGTCTGCGATGCACGCTATTGTACAAATACGCCTACTGGCTCAGTAACCACTACAACTACAACAAGTAATGTACCACCTCAGATGAAATACTTATATCCGATTTCATAATTGAAATTTCAATCCTATGGAAGCTTTGAAAATTTCAATTAAAAATGAGCGCAATATTGCAATTAATTATTGTACTTTTGATTAACATTACTTTTTTGTTTAGCCACAACAACAGCTACATTAGCGTTCAATCCTCAATGTTACAGTTATACGGCAATTGATGATCCGTCAAGAAATGTAAATGGTAAAGGTTATAGCTTACAATGTGATCAAGATAACCCGGCCTTTTCCACTCCAAATTGGTTTCGGTTTATTGGTACAGGTGGCACTCAAATACCTACCTCAATAGCAAATCCTGATCAGTGTGGTACAAATGCTGCAGGTTGGTATTCAGGAATTATGCCGGCTGTGTCAGGTACAACTGCGACTGGAACAGTGTGTTATTCGTGGGGAGGTAGTCCTTGCAGTTGGTCTAATGATATTCAGGTTACCAACTGTGGATCATTCTATGTCTATAAATTGTCCAAACCGCCCATCTGTAGTGCACGCTATTGTACGGATACGCCAGTAGCCACTTCAACAACTCCGACTACATCAAGTAATGTATAATCTCATATAAAATAGTTATATTGCATTTCATAATTGAAATTTCAATCCTGTCAAAGCTTTAAAAATTTCAATTGAAAATGGACTCAAAATTTAGACTAATTCTTGTACTTTTGAATAACTTTACTTTCCTGTTTAGTCACAACAACTACATCGACTCTTTCTTCTCAATGTTATAATTATGAAACTATTGATGATGAGACAAGAAATAAAGATAAAATCGGTGATATGGTTTGTGATCAAAATCTTTTCAGTTCCGGTCCACGTTGGGTTCGATTTATTGGTGCAGGTGGTACTCAAATACCTACGGAAGCTGTTAGATCTAAAAAATGTGGTACTCAAGCAACAGGTTGGTACTCAGGTGAAATGCCCAATGTCTTCGATACAACTACGAATGGAAATGTGTGTTTCGCGTGGGAGTCTAACGCTTGCGCATGGAAAACGAACATACTTGTGACTAATTGTGGATCTTATTATGTCTATCAACTGATTGCACCTCCAGTCTGCAATGCGCGCTATTGCACTGCCAATGCACCAGCTGCCAAGATAACCAAAAGATCGTCGACAGCATTCACATCAATCTCAAGTTACATTCGTAGTTTATTCAAGAAGCTGACAGAATGAAGAAAGTGATATAAAATGAAATAAATATTTTGAAAAGGATTGAGAACTTTCTGTAAATGAAGAAAAAAAAATTTAAAATAAACGAAGAATATGATTTAAAGCTATTTGAACATTGTAGTTAATCAATGTTATTTGTTGTGATGTTGACGATTCAATGAAGATCTAAGAGAAAATCTGTTTTTAGAAGTTTTGAAATTATTGTCTGTCACTCTATTTACAAGCGCCCGAATTAACAAAGATAAGCGATATCTTTTCGAATCTATGCTGCTACTAGTATACCAATTAACAAATTTTTCATTAGCTCATTTTGCATTTAAAAAAAATGTGTTTATCGAATATGATTAACTCAGAAAAATATACCACTATATTCTAACATTCTACAATAACTCTTTCACTCAAAGGTTTCAATCCAGCATTTGAAAATTATCAAAATTCTTTTTTTCTAATCAAAGGTGTAGAAAAAATGCAATGAAGAAACATATTTCCATCAAGAACCATGTTTTCATCATCTGTATTTTTTGACTGAATATGCCTACAAGTTCTGATGACAAGGCATATTACATTGAATACGATTATGTCTGTATTTTCAAAATAAACACTAAATGAGAGAATAATTATTTGAAAATATAAAATATATACACTAAACAAACAAATTCATAAAACACATTCTTCAGAACTAAAGTGAAGATACCAAATATTTACTCATATGTGTAAGTAACAGCGCAAGCGTTGTATTTGTTTCGCCCTTGACAATAAGAAATGAAAGAGAAAATTCATCCTCATGAAATCTACAGCATTTATCTTAGAAATAGTCATAGTAGCAACTAAAAAATATAGACAGTTAATAGATGGTGTAAAAAGAAAAAATAATGTAGTAATAGTAAGTTAACGAAGAAACGCAATTTGTGTACAATAAAAAAATTACACTATTTACTTCTTTTTTTTTGGAACTCATATATTGAAATGCGAGTGAAAGTTTGTATCGAGGCCGCCCTACCCGTGACATATAGAAATATATTTTTCTTTGTTATATAAAATGTAAATATTGACTAAATTATTTCTCAACTTAAATGGAGTATGTGATTTTCACATTTGAACTCCTAACGAGGGCTGCACTGAAGACGTTTTTCATATGTAAATTAAATACTATGTGCTAATACACATGTAGCAGCTTGACTTGATGTTATCATTACAGAATCGAATGTATAGTCTCGAAAAATACTAATTGGGTAGTATTGAAAAAGATTAACCGTTTCTGCTATTGATTTTATGTGTCATAGACATGTGAGTAAATATTTATTTCAAAAATTTAAAACAAAGTGACATTCATTAAAGAATAATACAAGCAATGTTTTATATTTGAAATATCAATGAGAGCAGCGATAAAAAAGAAATTGTTTTTGGTAGTTCTAATTGTTTCTTTTTTTGTATAATCATGCTAATAGTTAATCGAGCAGAAATGACGGAAGGAAACTCTTTAACAAACTTGTGTGCAAATTGCAATAAATTTTAAATAAAGGAAATAATAAAGATTACAATGTTTAGAGAAAGAAATAAAAATAAAAAGTTGTTTGATCAACAAAATATCGACAAATGGTCAAAAGTTTTCTTTGCATTCTCTTATTCTCTCAACTTATTTTTTAAATATAAATCTTACAATCGCTAACATATACTTTATTAAATAATAATTATTTCAATCCGATGATCATATCTCATTCTTAACAGAGATTCTTCTTCTCAATAACAAGAAAATTTATTCAACAAGTGATTTTATTTGATAGTAAAATGAAACGAAGAATTATTATTTTTACTATTGGAACATTGATTGATTACTATTTGATATATCATAAATGTATATTCACATCGAATAAAAAAATATTAAATCGATCTGATATTAAACAAAACAGATATAATCTAATGGAAAATATGTTCAACATATCATCAAATATTCACATTATTGATTTGAATATCAAAATTAAAACTAAATTTCAATGTATAAAAACAAAAAAACTACTTAATAACATAAGTACTCATATATGTCTACATGAAACAAAAAAAGATAAATATGTTAGTGGTGCATTTAATGATTCAATTTCTATTTGGGAAGAAGAACAAGTAACACGAATACTTCGACTTCTTATTCATCATCCACATCTTGATTTTATTGATCTTGGTGCAAATATTGGAACTTATACCATGTATGTAGCTGCTCTAGGTCGTTTTGTTTTGGCTATTGATTGTTTTGCTCCTAATATTGTTCGTCTTGGTCGAGCTATCCAATTAACTAATGTTCCTAATCATGTTATTCTTATTCAAAATGCTCTTTTTACTCAGTCTGGTCAATTTTTACGATTATCCATTGATACAAGAAATATTGGAGGACAGGGAATATATTTATTCAACAATTATTCACATAAATATCGTATAAGAAAAAATTCGTCTATAAATAATCCATATATAGTTAAAACTATAATGTTTGATGAAGTTCTTCCGATATTAATTAGACGTGGTGTTCGTAATGCAATAATGAAAATCGATATTGAAGGAAGTGAAAGTTTTGTTGTTGAAAGTGGTAGTCATGTATTTGATACATTGTATATTCCATTTATTCAAATGGAATGGCTCAAAGTTCGTCATTATGTTGATCGTATTATTAAAGTAATCGTAGACTTTTTTGGTAAACGAAATTATGATCCAATGACAAGTTCGTGCCAAGTGTTAAATCCTAGTGAATTTAGAATATGGCCAGATGAAATATATTGGTTGAAAAAAAATTTTTCGAACTTTTGTTAGTCTTAGTGTGTATTTAATAATATAATATCGGTTGCAAAAAATATTGTATGGATTTATATATTGACTCGAATGATTTTGTAAAAAACAAAGAAAAAAGGATTTTTATTCTACTGATCAATATCTATTCGAGATTCGAGTATTAATAATTAGAAATCTTCGATGTCAATATTAATTTACGAATATTATAAAATATGATTAATAGCTTCTATAGAAGTAATAACAATCGTGAAGTTGCACACTCACAGTGTACTCAAAGGATTGTTTTTTTTTCAATATTTATATCTTTTTTGATTGATACTAAGATTTCTTGCTACTAGAAATATATAGAATAAAGTTATTTTATTAGAATCAAAACTCTATAGCGTAAGTTATAATTATTTTTCACTTAGAAGTTTGATATAATAAGTAGACGATGAAGAATTTATGATTACATTTTATAACAATCATATCATCTAAAATGGTTCTGCTCGAATACGATGAAATAATATTTAATTTCTTTTTCTTTCGATAATACTAAACCACGGAAAAACTACTTCATATATGTATTAGAATTTCAATAAGGTGTTAATGTAATTTATTTTTGAATTATTTCAAGCTTGTAACAAATATGATGTGTTCTTTTTCATTTCTTACAATTTTTTTCATATTGCTTTTACATAGACGACACAATTAATCTCTTTCGATGATTTCTATTTGATTTGAGGTGATGAAAATGTTTGTCCAATTTTATTTTTTAACATATCTTACAAATATAAACATTATTTTATTCACATTGTCTCATAGTATTCTATTTATTTTTTCTTATAACTATTTTTTGTTTGTATTATTATATAAACTACACAAAAATGATATATGAATATACAATATTATACGGTTGATTTTTGATCTTCAGCAATTGTTGGTAATGGTTCATCTAATATTTGTTGTCTTTTCCATTCAGCCCATTCAATACTAGACAAATCATCAGGTTCAGTTTCTTGTTGTTTGACCCATTTTTTTCGTTGTGCAAATTCTAATAACCCAAATAATGCAACCATTGACATATAACCAATCGTAAATCGCCAACCGTCATCGTCACTATTCACTAAAATACCAACTCTACTTGAATTGATCAATCCAAAAAAAGCGAATATTCCGGCAAGAAAAGACCAAACAGAAGCATGTATAAATTTTCGATCTATCATGTATAACATAATAGCAGTTATAAAAATACATTGTAATTGAGAACCACCAGCAAAATTGATTAAACCACGATAAGAAAAACTTGAAATGGCACTTGTTACATTTGGTGAAAAATGGACATTTGATTTCGTAAAATCAGAATAACCGGCAGTAACACCACTTATAATTGTACCTTGAGCCCAATCAGCAACAATCGACATTATACCAAGAAGAAATGCTGGATAATGACGTTTAGGAGTTATGGCCAATGTATCAGTACATATAACCAAGCCGATAAAAATCTATTTAATTAAAAAAGAAATGTATCGAAGTTTATTCTATAGATCTTGTTCAGAATTTCAAATCTAAATGGAGAATTTGTTTTTTTCTCATTGGAAAATTTCAACAAAGTATTTTCATTCAAAAAGAAAACAGATAACTGATCCAATTATAAGATGCGGATGATATAGAATTATTAAAAACTTACGACAATAGGATTAATTGATACAACAGCAATAATCGAAATAAGGAGAGCAGTAATACCAAGAAAACACAATGGTAAAAAGGCAAGACCATTAAGAACTATGTAAGCTTGTTTAGCACCCATTTTTTTGAATGCTGGATGACCAATATATGCTTAAAGTAATACCACATATAAAAAAATTACATTTCCTACATAAGTCTTTGTTTTACATACTTGTCATGCCAAAAATCGATCCAAATAAACTAGCAATTAATGTTCCCATTCCATCGGCAAACATAACTTCTCGTGTAGGATAAAAATCACCAGCTCGTTTAGCTGATTCAACACATTGAATAGTTCCAACAGCAATTGACACAGCTGTAGGTATGGTTGTTGAAAGATAACCACTAATCGTATTAAAATGATCAAATATTTCTTTGATTGGAAAAACTGGCTGATAGCCTTTCACAAGATGACTTGCTTCACGTACTGCCGAAACATGATTAAGTGAAGTAATCCAAGCAAGAGCTGTACCTGTTGCTAACGCAAGAAATGCCACAGGAAAAGGACCGTATTTAACTAAAATAAGATTAGAAAAAAAAAAAACAGAAATAAAATCTACTAGTTATTATCAATTTGAGACAAATCAAGAACAGTTGCTCCTACTGACACTATCTTTCTTACGGCTATTGATTAGAACTAGTAGTAAACAAAAAATCGATTAGAAAAAGTATTATAATTAGATGTAGATTTCATTCTCATCCTTAATATGAGCTTCCTGAGAGCAACAATCATAATATCATTTAAGAGGGGAATAGTTTATGCTTACCTCCACCAAAATAACCAAGCATTACAATTGCCAATGGAATGAATGATACAATTGGTCTTTCAGCTACTGGTAAAAATTCATTGAGTGCCAAGAATGCAAATCCAAGACCAGATATTGATGAAAGTAAAGCAACACTTGGTGTATTTCGTCGAATAAATTCACCAAATACACATAGTAAAAGAAGAATAATACCAGTTGCGAAATTACTTGCTAAAGCCACATACCATGCCAATTCTTGACAATAGCCTTTGTCGTGAGATGAAATACATCCATAATAGGTTGGTAAAATAATAACATAAATGAAAGCAAATGCACCTGGAGTATTTATACCATAAGGCATAGCACATACATCACCACGTTTTTCTTTAAATGCAAGTTTTCGAGCCATATAAACATAATAGATATCACCCCATAACATAGATAATCCGACTCTAGAATATAACAGATAATAGTTTTCTGATAAATTTGTAAGAATGTTCTTTTTTTTTCATTCTCATCTCAGATATAAGAAATTATTTTTATACATAAAGACTACTCTGAAAACAATAATAAAAAATTTAGTTAACATTCTTACAATTATTTAATTATTAATTTATAATTTAAAATAATACGTTCGAAGGAGAAACTTACCCAGGCACAATTTTGCCATAGACAATATCATTTCCTAATATTGGTTGTAAACACAATATAGCTGTTAATAATGTTGCTAAATTATTGATAAATAATGCCATAAAACCATCAATATCACCTTTCACAAATAAGGGATATGATGAATTGAAACGAAATGCACTAATCCATTCTTTTGGATGAAATGACAATATTTCTTTCAATTCATTTTGAACAATTTTTCGACGACTGTAAAAACATCCACGTATTTTGGTATGTGATTGATTTTCATAAGCTTTCGTCTCAATTGGTGAAGTTAAATCTTTCATTGGTATCGACATGATGATATGAGACAAATATGTTACATATGAAATGCCAACTGATCTTTTCTCTTGATCTTCTCTTGTCAAATAATGTTTGGTGCTATCTAAAGGTCAGAATAAACAAGCAATAAGTGATTATTGACTCATAAATTTGATCTAATCTTTAGAAAATGTTATAGCATTCAAAGAACTTTGCTTCGACATAACGGTACATATTTTTCGTTAATGACAACTTCAAAAAAAAATGAATGTTGACTTTTATTATTACTTTTAGTAGATCCTTTATAGTAGTATTAATATTTGAAAGACAAAAAACACGTAAAACCTCCCTTGAAAATCGGTCATGGTCCAGATACATTCAATTCACAAGGCTCAAAACTAGCTCATTTGGCAATCCGAAAAGCTGCTAATGGTCTTCATTCTATAGATTTAATCTTTTTTTGTTTGAAAGAGCACGACATAGTTCTTTATTTTAAAGTATTATTTTTTAAGAGTCGAAAAGTTCAATGTTTCAAAAAATCTTGCTCTAATTATAAAAGTACTCTTTTATATAATACTAATAATAACACTTAATTCAAACACATGGATTCTGTCATGCCCTGTATCTCTGTATGATCTTGCAAATAAAAATAAAAAGTTATTGGCTACAATGTTCATGCTTTTCATGAATATTGACTTTGTCTTTTTTTTGAAAAGGGGGTCTGAAAATCAAAATATCATTTACAATAGAATTTTTCTAGAATAAGATGCCACATACGATAAATATTTTTTTATTTTCAAAGACAATTTTCAAACTTGCATAATATTTATTGATAAAGTCTCTTTATTTTGAACTTATGAACAAAAAAAAATTATTAAACAAAGATAATAAGAAATCTTGTCAACATCAAGTTCTATTTTTTTTTTCAATCCTACGTTCTAATCCTTAAGAAAACTTCAATTCCTACCTAATACAAACTGTTGAAAACAATTTGAGTGACGAAAAATATACACAGTATATGACTTCTATTTTATATATGACAATACGTGTGTGTACTGATGAACTGTTTCACTCCATATATATATGTATGTTTTCTTTGTATCTTCAGCGTTCATTTATCGAATATTGAGCTTGACCGTATTCTTTGTATGTGTTTGTTATTATTTGTCACTAATTGACTTCTTAAGACGCAAGCATAAATACAAAGCCGAGAAAATATATTCTATAGATGCATACTTGTTGTGTCTAATGAAATTGGTTCACAAGTATTCGTTTGTATTCATGCATATAGCCACAGGTGTAATTATGCAGATCATCTATTGATGATATCATCGATTATTCAGTTGACAATAATATGCACATAGAAGAATTCATCCGTAACAGGTTTTATTTCATCTAATCGTTATATTTTCTATTGAGTTCATTCAGTACGTGGTTTTTCATTGGTGGATTAAAGCATACATTCGAAATATTTATTCATTCTAGTAAAAACATTTCTGTATATAATAGATTTATTTATCTTATTGAAAAAGTATAGCTGATTTTATAAGATGTTATTAGATCTTCGACATAGAACTTGTAGATTGAATTCTATTGTCAATTCGTTTTTCATTTTATAATACATTTTTAAATTAATTTTTATTCGTCCGTCTTTTGATTAATTCACGATATCACCATTCATAAGGTTCTATTCATTGTTTTTTTTTCAATTTCTTTTGATGGTTTTAATTTAAAAACTTCCAACGACATATAGCTAATTTAGTAAAAATGCCGGGTATACATAACTATTGAATTGACTGTGATATTATCGAAAAAAAAATTTTTTCAATGTTTCGCAATGGGTTTAGAAACGATCTGAACTTTGCTATTATTATGAATAAATCATCTTCACCAATTACTTTATTTTAATACAAAAAGAGGAAAACAGATACCAGTAGATATCGTATTAACGATATAACATAATTCAATAGTTTTATTTCTTCTCAATATGGTATGCAAGCATTTTATAAGTCGCAATAACATATGCAATTCTGCTTTTATTTTAACTGAATAGTTATTTTAAAAATTATTCGAATTAGGCCACTTTTCATATAGATTTGCCAATGTACTATCACTGCAAGAATTTTCATTTTTTTTCAATCAGATTTTAATCATTCTAATGTGTCTATCTTCGTGTGATACAATTAATGAAATACGAGAGAGAAAGCAAACAAACAAACAGAATAAGCGGGTACTATAATGAGTGCCCTCTGTGTTCAATTATGATTGGCATCGAAAATTCAATAGAGGCTTTACCTACGAAACGGTAAATATGATGACTAAAAGGATTCTAAGCCGCAAGAATCGATATTTGACATAAAAACGATGATGGACGCTAATAGAGCTGAAATGGAACTTGAAAGTACAAAATTACGTAAACAATTAATTACATTTCAAGTATTGAAAATATGAATTTATTTTTCTTTTTCATTGAAAATTTTCATTTAATAATTTATATTTTTTTATAGTCTGAATTAGAAACTGTTCGAGCTAAAGTTCAAAAATTAACTGATGAAAATGATTCTTTACGATATGAATTACGACATAGTGTTGAAGAGCGTCTATCAGGAATTCATCCAGATACTTTCTTAAGTTTAAATAATGATTCTATTATTGAAGTACAAAAACGACAAATAGAATTATTAGAACAAGAAAAAGAACACGCAATGAAATTATATGAAGAGAGTAGACAAACAGTCGTTAAACTTGAAGAAAAAATCGAAGATTTAGAAAATCCATTGAAACCACATTTAATTAGACTTGATATGGAAACTAAACAAGTAAATATTTTTCAATATGATCTTCCGAATAGAAAAGAAAAATGGTTTCATATGTCATATTTTTTTAGGCACAAGAAGAACATGCTCGAGCTGAAGTACAACTTATACAAGAAATAAATATGATACGTGAAGAACTTACGTATGAGATTAATTGATTCGTTTGTTTTAAATTCAGTTGATTGGTTTTTTTTCTCTCTCTAGAAAACGAAGTAGAGAATTAGTGAATTATCAATTACATGTCAAAGAATTAGAACGACAAAATGAAACACTTCAAGCGGAAGTTTATCAGAAAGTATAGACTGAAGAAAAAAAAAAAATTCTTTGAATTAATGAAGATTATTTTTGTTTTGTTTTAGCAAGATNTATTCCAGTGAGAATGAGTGAGTGTGACAGTGAGAGTGAGATTTTTTCATTGTACTTATCTTCATATCTACACCCTATTATATTTAAGTACCTGCCGTGGTCTTTAACACTAGAGAACTTTATTCATTCTGATTATCTGTCTGCCATAGATTGTGAGGGGAAGAGATGGATGATTCACTGTTTCCGATATATACTTTAACACTCATTTCCAATAGTATCATACAAAACTTACTGGGCAAACACTACGGCTGATTTGAGTAACTACCTGCTTGTCGGTAAATGAGAGCAAAATAAGGATAATTCTATTACTCAAATCTAAACGAAGTTTGCAGAGTGAGTAAGCAATATCCATTATCGGTGAGCGAATAATCAAATTCCCCAAAGCCCACATTGAAATTATTCGTAAAGGAGTTTTAGCAATTCCAGCACAAAATTATCTACGACAGCAGTCACAACTAAAGCACGAGTAACAGGTATGTTGTATGATGTTTGCAAGGATTATGTGTCGCTGTTTTTGTTGAGCGAACCTTTATGCATCCAGCAATTTCGATGTTGTACTGATAAACCGATTGAATGCATTATATGTATTTTTATCATGCTGCTGAATTTCACTGTTCAAGCTTTACAATAGCATTGTATCGAGAAAGTTTTCGAACACGAAGCACCGGTAAATACAGTTTCAGCGACATGAAGTTTGGATTTTCACCGTATGATTGCGCCATCCATGAAACAAGATGCTGATGTCGAACGACAGTAAGGCGAGCTACTTATTAGAAATCAGAAAACAGAAGACATAACATGAACTTTTGTTCCAGCAATAGTACCGATGACAAGAGGTAAAAAAATGTTTTACCATCACTGAAAATGTGTTTCATCTTTTCAAATTTTAGTATCTGAAAAGAAATGTTTGACGACAATAAGCAAGTTCACTTTTGATTGATATCAACTTTCATAAGCTTACTTTGATCCACAATTTCTAACAACAACAACAATCAACTCAACCTAAACACCCTAGTATACATTGTCATTAATGAAAACAGCATAAAAAATCGGCTGCATTCTCTCGAATTGTTTCATGTTAAAACCCATGATCTTACTTATTTCTGTACTCTCCGCTACAGAACAATAATACACCATTGTTCTCATTGTGACTAAACTTCTCAAATTGAACAACCAAGGCAATGAACTTCGTTCTTTTGATCTTACCTTACTGACTAGAGAGCATTTGACAAATTAGAAAACATGAAAGAAGAAACTCATCTTAAAACGGTTTATTATAATCTGTGGTGCGTAGTCACTAACCATTATCTTTTATTGATTCGCCATGGCAAGTTTCGCTGAAAAAACACTACATAGAAATTATATTATCTCTGTTTCAAGTCAAATATTTTCGTTTTTCAGAGTTCTTGTGTAATTCAGATGAAAATCAACGCCATACTAAAAAGATTCAAACGTGAGACGAAGAAATCATGACCAACTCTTTTTCTTCAGGAGCTACCCCGTCGACATGTTCATATTTAATATCTTCATGTTTAATTATATTATCATTAGCAACTGTTTCCTATGAAGCAAACATAATTAATCAGTGCTATATAGCATCAGTCTTTGACATGCACATACTTGAGCATATTTTGACTTCTTGTCATTTGATCCACAGCAGCAGCAGAAGGTCTGGCGGCAAGATATCAATAGAGATGAGTCGATTTTTTCGACCTCTGATTTTGAGTTACCTAGATTTTACCAGAAAATAATAAGTGTCAACGATCTTTTTCCTACCTACTGCACAACAATGAGCATGCAAGGCCAACAATGACTGTCAATATGACACCATTAAATGCATACCACATGAATGATATGGAATACAACGGCAAAAAAAAATTATTGTCATTATTATTAGATCTGAAATCAGGCAATAATTATGATCAAACAGCATGAAACATTCTTCGATACCTTGTACTCGTTATATTGAGTGTGATATTTGTCAGATTGAGTGATGTACATCCATCGATAGATATTGGCAAGATTCGTTTTGGTTGTTGATGAAGTGTCAAATTAGCACCGACAAGAACCCAGAGTTGAAATACAAGACTGACCAAGAATGAGATGCAAGCACTCTAGAAGAACTACATTATTAATAAGAATGACACAATAAACCGAAATTACCCGATTGTTAACACGAGGAAAGAAAAAACCAAGCAAAAAAAGACCAAAGATTGGCGCGGTTAATGTGCCTATGACAGAGTACACAATCTACAATGAGCATTCAACATTACTTTCATCATATAAATATTCGAAAGAAGATTATCATTGAACTCACGACAAGGATATTTGTCAAATAGGACATGAGAAAAGCAAGTAGGATCGTAAGTAGACCCAAGCCAACAGCTGAAAATAGAAAGAATAAAAACTAATGTGACATCATTTCATCTCATACACATGAATTTTGCAATTGTTGTTTGTAATTCATCAGACGGTACCCTATTCGGTGCTAGAGTTTTCCAAATATCTTCCATAATGACTGCAGCAATGCTATTGACACCTGATGATATAGAACTAAAATTGATTAGGTTATAATAGTAGTGAACAATGGAGATAAGATCAACTACCTTAAAGAACCACTCATGACAGCAGCAATGAAAAGTCCTGTGAGACCAGGAAAACGACTGAATGTTTCCATAACAAATAATGGATAGAGCTGCAGATAATAAATATCGAAAATATTCATATCATAAATCGAAAATTTCATACTTGATCCGCTCTGGAGACAAGTTTAGCTTTCAAAGGATCACAATCGTGATATTTTGCATGAATTAAGAGGCCAACTACACCACATAAAAGAATCAATAAGACACACATGAAAGTGTTTATCCATACAGCTCTATAAAATTTCGTAATGAGGAACAATAGATCTGAAATTGATCTTTACTTTTGTGCTTCTCGTGTACTACTGACACACATGTATCGTTGTGTTTGTGTTTGTAAGATGCAAGCGCATGACGAAGCATAGCATGTACCACCCAAAAGAGCTGTCCAAATAGTGTATCGTATAGTTGGATCAAAGCTGATGCTATTCGAATATATATATATATTTTTAATTTTTAAATAGAATAAGAACCAGTTTACTTAAAGAAATTGATTCGTTGACCATCCATTGCTATTTCAAATACTTTTTTGATTCCACCAGCATCGGAAAAACCTTTAAAAAGATATAATGAGGCAAAACATTGTTACTTATTCACTCTACCGAAGATTATGGAAAGAACAACACCAAAAAACATAACAAATGATTGTGCTACATCGGTCCAAATCACAGCTTTCATGCCGCCCTTCAAAAGAAAACATCCACATTGAGAAATGTATGCATTAAAGTATTCTGCACAAGATAAAACTCACAATGCTTGTATAAAATGTACAGATGACTCCACATGAAATGATAGTAAGCCAAACTTTGAAAAGAAAACACTGATGTTACATGATACCATTGTAGGTTCTTCTTACTATCTAATCCAGTAACTTGACTTAATGCCAAACAGGGCCCATACAGAATTACCGCCATGAAGAGAATCTATTGTATCAGTACATCTAGGTTTCTAACATCTGTAGTCACTCGCTACTTACCAAACTGATAATAAACGTCAGCGTAACACTGATACGTAACGCCAATGAAAATCGCTTTTCCATATACTAAATATCAAGCGAAACAATTAGCAACGACGAGTAGTCGGACACTAAAATAATATCATCATACTGTATAGATACTAATAAAACCAAGTTCCCGAAATTTGGGAATGAAAATATGACTTGTCAGATAGGAGGCAATCATCCAGGACAACACTAGAATGATAACATATATAAGCCAAATTTTTACAGTTACTGCGAGAAAGATCAATAGAACAACGCACTAAAGTAAAGATATATGGTACCATCTAAAAACAAACCAAAAAGTTATACTAATAGTGTGCTCGAACAGTTTGACTAACTCACAATAGTAGATTTCCACGGGAATGCCGAGCAATGTTGATGCAGAACAGAGAGTGGCAAATAAGCTCATTGCAGTAGGCAACATCTATAATTGAGAGAATCAAAATCTTCAAATGCTTGTTTCAAAGAGAAACACGTACACCCATTTTGCCACCAGCCATAAGGAAATTTTTCGTAGTTGTCTGTTTATTTCCAAAGCATCCATGCCAGATACCGATGACCGCTGATAATCCTTAGAACAATCAATAATTTGTTGGTAATGAGAAAGTATATGAACCTATTGGACTTCTTACTGACCGAGAAAAAGAACTAGCATGGCATAATCGGGCCAGCCAAGATAAAGATTATTCAAAGTCATTTAACGTTTTCTTGCTAATGCAATCGAATACTGACAATTAAAAAAATAGTTTGCGCAACTCACAGTATGCTGTTACACATTTATCTACTTTCTCTTTTCAGTCGGAAGAAAGAAACTAGGAAGAAAAAAAATAGCAATGATCATATTTCACAATTCCAATGCCTTTGAGTCACATTATGAGTCATGACAAAAGAAATGAAGTCGAATAGTATGAAAATTTCATAGATGATAGCCATTAACAATAATGATATTTTCTCTTCCGTTTATCAACTCCTACTTGTTACGGTCCTCGTCGTAACTCAGAAGTATAGCGAAATCGTTTATACGTCCTTCATCGGCTTCAAATTTGACAATTTATAGATGCTAATGCGCGAAACACATCAATGAATCATCCAAGATCATCAATGGAAATAGTAATCAAGAAAACTCGATTGTTTCGAGGAGCTATCGATGTTTATCGATAAAATATGAAGTTGGATACTCTCTAACAGTGTAGGATATGATTTTATAATAGAGGGTGTGCGTATGAGTGTTGATTCACCGATATTTCCCCGCTGATACTTTCGCGAGGAGGAATATCTACGCGAGTGTGAATGTGGATGAGTGACGTAGGTGAAGTTAGCACGATATTCGAGTAAAATCTTCCGATATTCAATCATAAAACATATAATGAACTTTCAATAAAACCATTTTATTTAAATTTTTATCATAGTTATCGCCTTCTACAACAACAATCACTCAATAGAGATCAACAAATAAATATCGATTTCATCTAGTTATATTAATAGACAATTATCTTTTATTCCAATTAATAATGATTCATCACTTGTATATGAAAATAGTATAATTAAATCTAATAAAGCTACTGTTATAAATATATTTGATCAAAAGTTATTAGAAGAACATTCGACAAATACTTATGTTAATAAATATGAAATTCAAATATTACAAAGATTTTATTATTAATTACTAGCGAGAGTCCTTGTATACTGCACGACTGTTTTCTCCTTTAATGTATGACCTCAGACATTTAACTTTTCATTCAGGAACAGACATACAGACACTCGATATTATGTATATAGATAGATAGCCCTACAGCTTCATACTCTTATATCGCACATATTTTTATAGTCCATGTAGCCTTGTATCCCTTGTAGCTATTGTAGTCTTATCCCCTTACAACGTAATGCCGTAGTCCCTTGAGAACCTATGGCTACTCCCATATTATAGCTCTTCATATCCTATAGATATACCATATAATAGCCCTTGAGGATTTATAGGTACCCCCGTATGATAGCTTTTAAGTACCTATGGATACTCCCATATAATAGCTGTTGAGAACTTATGGATAGTCCCATATATTAGACCTTGAGGGCTTATGGGTTCCCATGATAACAGCCCTTGGGTCTTCTCCTTATCGCCTTATTTCACTTTTAACCTTTGACCCGACACAGACACATACACACGCACACACTGAACATTATATATATAGATAGATAATGCTTCATTTATCTCAATCTAAACATTTTTGAAAGCGGACTCGAATTTTATTCAATTACATTTAAATAATTATATTTATAGAGATTAAAACAATTGATTAATCTTACATAGATATATTTTCACAAGATTTTTGTTTTTTATCTTTATTTCATAATAACAGTTTTACTTTAGCTAACAATAGATTAACATCAAATAAATTTTTATTTTTTTATTTCAAATAATAAATAACAATAATCATTCTATTATTGCATAAGGAAAAAAGTCTTTAAAATCTACAGCCAAAATTAGTGGCATACGATGCAAAAATAGACGGTTAATTTTGGCACAATTAACTCGCATTGCATCCCTTGTAAAATTCTCCGTTACTTTTTGTAAATAATCATAGGATACACAAAGAAAAACATTATTTAATAAACAAGTTTTAGTATCAATTAAAAATTGTTCAACATAATCTTCATGAATATAAACAAGGTCAAGTTTATTAAGACGAGAATATTGTATGATTGACCATTGTTGATTATTATTCTTTTGCTGTTGATAATTACGTAAACTTAATTCTTCAATAAATGGAAATGAATGAGAAATTTGAAGAAAAAATTCATGTTCAAAAGAACGTTCATCACGTAATGAAATTTTACGAACATATTTAAATAATCCACCACGAAAATTATTCGATATATTATTATAATATGACCATATATATGGATACGAATAAATATGACAATAAAATGAGTTATCTATTGAAAAATAATCAACAGATGAAATAACTTGATTATTTTAAAAATTTTTAAATGTGTCTTCAATATCTTTATTTGATGGTAAATAATCTGATTTATTAAGCCGAGTAATTGAAGAAATATTAAATTTGAATTTCTTTAATTTTGTCATATAATTGATAATATTCTTTTTCAAATTATCACCATCAATAATTTGTTTAGAAATATTAAAAAAGCTCAAACTAAGTTCTTTTACATTTAACATTTTATATAAAAATGGAATAAGAAATTCATTGTACTTCGAAAAAATGCATTTAAGGGCAAGTGAAAAGCGTTTTAAATTTAATAATTGCTTCTAGAAAACAAAACAAAAATTAATAAATATTTATAAGTATTATTCATTTATTCAAAAATAAGATATTGACACAAGTAAGTCACTTCAACTACTTCATTTAAGTAATCTTTCAATTGAGTATCATTATCAATATAACCAACTGTAACAAATAATTTTTTTAGCTGATTGAATCGATCATCAAATAAAGCAAAAAAATAGACGATATCATCTACTTCGATATGCAATTCTAATAGAATTGGATAGAGAATACATGGAAATGGTGTACCAAATATAACATGTTTATGATAAAAAGATGCATTGAAATTGAAAAACTTCAAACTATTGAACATTTTAAAGATTTGTATATATATATGTATATTTGTATCGTCGAATGACCCATGTAGTGAAAACCGGGAGAAAACCGGCGGTTTACCGCAGTTTTACCGATCCGGTTACCGGCTCCCATACAGCGGAAAAACGGTGGTTTTTTCCGGTTAACCGCGATTTTTTCTAGCTAACCGCGGTTTTTTTCGGTTTAGCGTTACTTTTTTTCCGGTTTACCGCGGTAAACCGCCGGCTTTGTTCGATTTACCAGTTCCTAGCTGGTAAACCGCGGTTTACCGCTAAAAATGATCCGGTTTTTGTGACATGGGGAATCTGTGGGTTCATCTTCTTTAATATCAATAATTAGTGATACAATTTGATTTGTTAAATGATGAAACAAAAGAGTTCTATCTAAATAAAATAAAAAATTAACATTTTTATTCAATTATTTTTTAGTTTTTCTTTTATTTACTAATGAGAGCTGGGCAAAGTACTCGATTATGATTTTGGTCATACACATACTCGAAAGGCTAGTACTTGTACTCGTAGTCGTACTCGAGAAATTTTCTACTTACTCAGTTCCATTACTCATTTAAAATATTCTATTATCTTTTCTTTATTAGTAAATTAAATTTAAATGAATATCATTTAAATTCTATAATACATTTTACTCTATCAATTAATGCAGTGTTTTTAATCTTAATCATTTACTTTCTGCTTTAAGAATGAAAGAATTTTCATTGAAAACATTATAAAATCACATTCGTATTTTCCTTCAGTTGATGTGGTCATTTTAAATTTTCTTCAAATTGATATTCATAAATAAATATTAGTAACAAAACTAATTTAGAATAAAAATATCCTTAATAACTTAATTCTGATTATATAAAGTATATATAATCAGATAAATTATCCTTATAGAATTAATCATTGAAAGAGTTAAAGAAAATATTTTACCAGTAAAGAGATCTTTTGCTCGTTTTGATGCAAGATTATACAAACCAAGTCCATGTAAATTAGGATAATTTATTACCTGAAGAATAGGTTCAAGCCATGATGATTCAACATGAATCCATTCGATCTTATGATGAATTTTAGGTATAATTTCAAGATAAAATTGATCAAGTATCAGATCAGTCAATTGATTTAAATCATTAACAGGTGTAGTTATTGTTAAATTTTTTCTTGCAAAAATTGAATCATTTATTATTGTATCAAATCGTTGATTGATATCCATGAAAGAGTACGGAGGTACTTGTTCACTTTCGACACATCTTCTCACCCACACTCTTTGATGTGCGTGTGTTAAACACGCCAATTAGTGTACAGAGTGTGTTTAAAGTGAACAAGCACCTCGCTATGTACTTGCATAGGTTTAGTCATCCTGTATGTCTGACAATGGGAGTGACCACAACAACCAGTGTTCCGAATGATGAGTGCACCAAGCAAAATCAAAGTGAGCGTTCACGTATTTTTTTTGATTTGCACTCTATTTTGCACTTTACTCAAAAAAGTAGAATCTACATGCTGTACTCTATTTAGTACCCTGCGGTTCCTAGCATTACCCGGGAACCGGAACCGTCGGTTCTGGTTCCTGAAATCGAAAAAAACCGGTTCCTTTTTCGGTTCCTAAAATTTTTTCGGAACCGATGATTTTACTGTAAAATATAAAATAGCGAGTGACTAAGTTGACGGTTCCCGGTTCCCACTCCGGTTCTACCCGCTTTTTTTCACGGTTCCAGTTCCGGGTAAGAGAAACAAAAAATCCAGTCCTCGGTTCGGCTCTCGGTTCCAATCTTTTTGGAACCGCAGGGCACTAGTCAGAGAGTATCATCTGTTGACGCTAACAGAAAGCAAGACTAAAACATTGTATTAAAACGAATGCTGATTGTTTACATTGCCTGATACGAATCTTTTTATATAACTGTATTTTTGTTTCCTTCTCGCATATATGATCGCGAGACTGTATAAGCCATCATAGAACTTTGACATGCGCTCCATATGTATGTTATTTGACTGAATATGCCTCCTACTGATGCATTCGAGCACAACATTGAATAAACGTAGATGAGTACTTTTTCGTCTCATTGCACTTCGTTGTTGTTTCTGGAAGTTGAAATATCTAATGTTGGCTGGATCGAATTCGATTACCTCATGATTTTTTGCTGTTGTCTTATGAATAAGATTATCCTCTTGTGATTTATCATAGCTTTCATCAACTAGCGTTTCACTTCTGCCGAGATTGCAGATACATTTATCAATTCGATTTATCAAAGATTCATAATACGCTTGGACTTCTTTGAATGTCGACTGAATAATGTTCATTTCATCGAATAACTTATCATGATCAATGTCAAGATTGAGGACAGCAATGCATTCTTCAATATGCTGAAATTAAATTTGATCGATTTCAGTGATTCCAATAAGGGAATAGGTTTGTTTCGTTTATATGAACTACCACAGTGAGACATACCGAAGATGGCAAACAATGTTGCTAAAACAGAGTGTTGTGCATAATATTACTCAACGTATTGGATAATATTTGATAGATAATCCATAAATGGTTTAGTGGAATTTTCCCTTTCCTGTTTGGGCAATGAATTTAGTAGTATCGTTGCTTGATGCCTCAAAATTATTTTGCTTCAATCGATCGTTCAGTTTATTGAGAAGACTGACGATGATGAATGGATTAAAATTAAGGATGGAAGTGCTGTTTCGGTATAGTTCCAAATTTTTGTTTGTAACTCAAACAAAACAGTTTGTAGAGAACATAAAGCGCATGTAACTTCAATAGACATGAAAGAAATTGCAATGACCAGTGAACACAGATGCTCATCTTCGCCGCCTAAGTTTAAAAACTCAGCAGGCTAGTGGTAAAAGACTGAGTAATCGTTCGATCGATGTGAATAGACTGAACTAACGAATACTCATATGTTTCAATAAGAACTAAATCCAAAAAAAAATTGTACTCAATGAGTACAGTAGAGATCGAACATTACATATATTCACTAAATAATCTTGTTGAGCAAAGCCAAGATAACCGTAAGAATTTGCAAATGTTTTCAATGACAAAATATGGTCATAGAATTTCTACAGAATTGGTTCAACAACAATGAACAAGATGTTGTTAGAGTTTTAACTTCATCCTTCAAACTGTGCGCATAACAATTTTCTTGAAGAAAAAAGTATGCTGTATTTCAAGAAGCCTATAATGTTTCGTTTTCGAGAAGAAACAAATGCATCTTTTATCAAATTGGGAATTTCCGATTGAAAAAAAGAGTAGACAAGAGTTTCGTCCAAAATTTACATTGCTATTATCAGTACCGATTAACGTTATTTTAAAAGTGAAAGAAAAATCATCTACATTTCATACCATCTTTTTCGCATCGTAAACATCGAGTTTTCATTTAGTAAATCGCGAAATGATGTTCTGCACCGAAAGCAAATGTCAATCGATCATTTAAGTATCGAATAGTTGAATATTTCATTCTAGCTCAGGCATTCATTTGTAAACACTGCTATGAAATCGATTATATTCCAAAATCTGTTCACATGGTAGTAAAAACTACATGCAAAAATTTGTGGCATACATAACATCCATATGCACACTGGAATGCTCCAGTATATCGAAATGCATTATATGTGGTGAAGGTCACAAGCTGATGAATTTAACGTATCCTATAGTGAAAAGCTACTATACTGTACTCACGAGAAACCTTCTCAATCAATTGGTGATATCTGCTAAGAGATTTCATAGTGTAAACCCATCTCAAGTAGATTTTTCAATCGCCTTTGCAGTATATAGGGAATCATTTATTGCTGCTACAACAAGTCAAGCAGCCGAAGTGAGCTTAAGTACTCTCCTCATAAAAAAAGTACTTAGATTCATTTTTTGATAAGATTAAGAATGAGTCAAAGAAAACGCATAAAATTATAGATGATCGTCACGGAGAAATGCGCAAACGTGACAAAAAATTGAAGGAAAAGATTGAAGCTACTAAGAAAAAAACCTCAGTCACTGGAAGTTGAATTACACGATCATATGTGTGCATCATTAAGCTTTTTGCGTCCAATATCTGTTTGATTCTAATTAACAACGTTAATCTAGTTGCAGAAAAGAGTGTGGGTATGGACATTCTATCCACATCGACACCCTTATACTAGATCGCAACCATTTATGATGATATATACAATATTCGCAAACAATTTTATTTTTAATAAACTGTTCACAAGCTTCAATAAAAGATCAGTCATAACAAAATGTGTTTAGCAGAAGCGGAAGATAGCAGCGAGGTAAATCATACAGGAAGCAAAAATATAGAGAAAAAAAGTCATTCTTTGTTTCTGCTTTCAATTGACTTGATGACAGAAAAAGAATATTTATCGTTCAAAGTCACATTATAAGAGACAAACTATTTTGCCGTATAAATGCATTTGAAAAATACGATGTCGGCACCGTTGACCACATGACCAATCGCAGATTTGGTAGTGTCAATGGTACGAGGAATTAAAAAGTCTCTTCCTATCGTTTCCTTTTGACGATGGACGTCACGCATAGCCAATTCGTCTCTAATATCGTAAGACTTTATATCATGCGATATCATCTTGTAGATTTTGTAGTCGAGAATGGGGATGAGAATAGGGACTGTGAGTCCTCTGTCACAACAATCGAGCTTGCTCCAAGACCTGTGGAAATTCCAAGACCGGATCCAATGGATTTGGCCGCTCGTCTATGCTTGACTTTCTTGTGGATGAGTTCGTCATCGGACAAGTAGTATTAGCGAGGCATGAGACGCTGTTGGTGACAGTAGCAAATGTATACTTGGTTTAATGAAGCCAATATCAATAGGCAGTTTGTTGATTGTGCAAAGTTTCATGTCTTGTATGATATTGGTACACTCTCTTTTCTTGAAAATAACCTATATGTTTAGTTGATAATGTAGCAAGGGAGAAAACCCAAATGATGGTTAGCCATGATACATTGATGGCAGTGGGCGACAGGCGTGATGCGCTTCAAACAGGTAAAACGTGCATACCAAGTCTTCTATTCTAGTAACCATCATCAATTGTCAATATATCATTTTAATGGACAGTTCAGACGAAAAAATTATAAGTTACTTAATAAATCAATCGTTCTCACGTTGTCCTTGCTGTTATATTGAGTGACTCATGATGTGTGATTAGTAAACATATTTTATGACAATAATGATTTTATTAGCTATGCGGAACTTGCCTGAACAACAAACATTTCGAGTAGTTGCGAACTCCAGACTCTATTAGAATTTTCATCTTCAGAAAGGATTGAATGTGAGTGGGTTATGAATGATGAGAAGACTAATACTTGATATTCACAACGCTGTCTTGACTAAAACATGGTGCAAAGACTATCATAGTCAAGACAGAAAGAGTCCTATAGGTTATTTGAAGATTTTCGAACTTATACTTTATTCATAACTAAGACTATATAGCACTCGAAATAAAACAAAATTATATACCTTTAAAAGATCCTACAAAACTGATCGCTTGCTCTGTCATCCTTCCTATTCGACTGAAGTCTCTATCAGAAAGAAGCCCATATTTTTTTTTGCTTAGTTCCATGCATTTTTTTAAAGGTTCATCCTATGGTTACTGTCATTTCATTCTGCGGATTATTTTTTTTATCATCACAGCCCCAAATTGTGTCTTTCGAACTTCTTAGATGAAACCGTTAATTCATACTGCCAGCTGCTTGAAAACATGTATCTTAATTCGACCTACAAAATGCATATAGATGATTGATATTCAACAGCTCTCTTCACGAGAAAAGGAGACCGCTCAAAGCCTCATGAATACCAATTTTTTGCATAACTATAGCAAAAATATTTTCAGTGCTACAACTCTTTCTTTTATATACCCCAAAGGACAAAGATAAAACTTTCCCAGATCTTCATTCTTGCTCATTATCATGAAGAACTTTTGTTGCATTTTTTAATCGAATTGATAGTGTGCGTATTATTGATTATTCTTTAAAATTTTATAGATAAAACAAATATATTTTGTTTATTAATTATCAAAACACACGTGAACGAAATTTTTTGCTTGAATTACCAAAATATAGCATTGTTTTACACACACACAGAAATACATATGAAAGACTTATAGAAAGAAAACAAAATGTTTTTTCTTGCTTTTAGCCGAGTATAGCAGTTGTCACTTGAGTATTAATACCACATGTACCTTTACCACGTAAAATACGGAAATAACCATGTTCACCCCAACTAACACCCCAACTATTTTTCACAATCCAATAAGGTTTCGATCCTTCTTTTCCCCAACCAACAAGAAGTACAGCATGATCCAGATTTTTTGGATTACAAAAAACTGGATTAAAAATTCCTTTATGATAAAATTGTAATAATTCAGCATTAAGTGCAACAGATAATGGACCAGTACTCATTAAAGCAGCCGCAATATTTGTTTCATCCTTAAAACAAAACACAAAAAAGAAAAACAATATCATATATACTTCAAATCTAATAAAAAATATTTTACTTCATCAATTGCTTTCCAATCGACCACTTTAAGACCTGGTACAAATTGATTTGAATCAAGTTTACTTTCACAACTATCTTTTATATAACAAAATGGTATTGGAGGACCACATAAAGTTTTATTATAGCCTGGAGCATTACAAGGTTCACAGGACTTTTTTAATCCAGCACAATAAGGATACGTTGATTCAGATTCGATACCACCCTATTTGATTATTTTTTTAGAACAAATTATTAAAAAGAAAAATTCAATATTTACTTGTTTCATTAAATATTGAAAACTAAGAAATGGCCAACCACCATAAACACCACAATCAGCTTGTCCTCTAGAAAAACTAAAGTTTCATATCATATTTATTGTCCTTTATATAGATACAAACGAATCCGTTTTTTGCATGCCATCACAGTCGACTATTTGTTCAACAGATAAATTTGTTAATGTTTTACTTTTTAGAGACCATTGACCTTCAACATTTTGAACAGTTGAAAAAGCCCAACATGTACCAACCGATCCTACAAATTGTAATCATACTTAAGCAAATCTTTCTTTTTTCTTTTCTCACCTTGATCTTTTACTGGTGTAACGGCATCATGATCTCGCCAATCGAATGAATCAGGTAGATCTCCAACGGCTGGAGTCTTCATATATCTGTCATAATAAAGCAAAAAAAAGAGAGTATTTAAACAAGATAAATGATACATGTAGATGAAAATAACCTTGATTGAGAGTGTATAGGTGGTGCTTGAGGACGCATTAAAATTGTATTTCGAAATTCATCTTCTGTTAGATCAGCGAATTTATTCAATTCAAATGTCATATCATGTCTAAAAGTATATTAACAAATTATATAAGACAAAGAAAAATGCACAACTATTCTACCCAAAAACTTCATTTAATTTATGAACTTGAATATAATTTTCTTTGAAAATTGTCATTCGTTGTTTATATTCAGCAAATGAACCATAGTCACGATCATTACGATCAAGCCAATTTCTTCAGAAAAATCATATGAAAAATGATTGAAATATTTCAAATATTTACAAAAAAAAAAGAATTTAATTCATACTTAAAAAGAATTTCTAAGAGTCCATCAGATATATCATAACTAAATAAAGACAAAGATATTTACCAAAAAAAAATTAACTATAAATATTACTTTTTTGTTAATGTAGCAATATTTAAAGCAATAAGACAGACAGCAATAGCCGTTCGAAATATCAAACTTGTTTGCATGAGAACACAATCTAAAAGTGAAGAAACATTGTTACATAGACTTGTTATCATTACTAAAACAAAGATAAAAAATAAATTATCATGTCATTTTGGTAAAGATCTCCTTTCAGTAAGATTCGTTCTCTCAAAAAATAGAAGACCATCACTGATTTTATGATAAGTGCAACTTGTTACGTATATAAAAGGGTTTATTTCTCACAAAAAAAAATTGAATCGATTGCGTTACAATGCTCTTCTAAAAAAACGAAAGTATTATTGAAAGAGAAACATATTTTAATTTTAGTATATATTAAAGGAACATTTACAATAAGAAAAACAAATATCAATAATAGGAAAATGTTCTTTGAAAAAAATTTGAGCTAATCTAATCATGTCTATTTCTATTTGGTTGCCACACGTGTTTTTTTATTCCATGAAAAATTTGCGCCATATGTCTTCTTGAAATGAGGAGTTGGAGTTGATTCAGCAACTTCATATTTATAACCTAAAATTAAAATCATAAAATAACGAAAAATCAAATTTTAAAAAATACTATATAAATTAATACTAACCCATACGTTCACAATAAATTATAGCATCTTCTTTGCTAGCAAATTCGACCATAACTGATGAATGAGGATCAGAACTAAAAAAAAATATTCTTTTATACTCAACAAAAAATGTTCTTTTATTAAGAAAAAAAAATACGTACGATGATGCCCAACCCATTAATGGATTTTCCCAACGTTCTTTTGTATCCCATTCAACTTTCCATTTCTTTGTATTATTTGTTCCTGATTGCATAGCATTACGAGCAGATACAAATATACGACAACGTCGTTCTTTAAACATATCTCTGGGTACACCCGATAAAAAACCGATCGATTCCTATACGTTAGAAAAAATTTAAAAAGAAAATAACATAAAGTTGATTTACATCTTGTCGTGGAATTTCAGCAATAGGACTGGAATCAATTGGTTTTTGTGTATCGACACTTGTACGGCCCCATACGTTTTGAATATCAAATAAAGTTCTATAAATGAAAAATAATACATTTTATCGAATTGATCTTTTCAGATTCATCAAGATAGAGATTAACCATATTAACAGATTGAATGACGGTATATCAACCTGAGATATTGCTCATAAACAGATCTATTTGTCAGTAGAATGCCCTGAAAATCTTGGCTGAGAAGAATCTTTCCTTTCCAAGGTATCAAAGTGACAAAAAGAACAGAAAAAGTCTAGTATCTGTCATGGAATATGAGTGATTTTTCAATACTTATAAATAGACCTGTCTGTAGGCAAAATCTCAGATTGAAATAACGTCATTCAATCTATTCGTGTATACCATGCTTGAGACTAAAATTCCAGTAAAATGCCTATAACCTTGAACTAAAATTGATTAATCAGTTGAAAATGTTACTTCGTCAATTATTACTACAAAATATCGACTATTGTAATGTTTTGTATCTAAGAGACAATTAATAATTACCTTTGAGGAATAGAAAATAAATTGATTCGTGATGGTTGTACAATAGATTTTAATAAATTCATCTACAAAACAAGGAAAAATCAAACTTATATTATTATCACAAATATTTAAAACAGTTTCCCATTAAAATACTAGCAAGTACTATCAAACCAGTAATACGATTTGATGCAAATGTATTCCAACAAGATTCAGTCTTATTCAAATTAACTTTTTCAATTTGTTGATGAAGATGATAACCAACAGCAATTAAACCTAAATAATATGGCCATGTTTGATCAACGCTTAAACCAGCTGTAATTAAATGTGAAATCATTCCAATAGAAAAAGCTCTTAACCATAACTTTGTATCATTTTTAAGAAGTAGAGCTGTTGATTTTACACCAACAAGTAAATCATCTGTTTTATCTTGATGTGCATAAATTGTATCATAATGAAGTGTCCAAGCAATACCAGCAAAATATAATGGTAATATAATAGATGGAAATATGATTCCTGTTGCTGCTGTAAAACCCATCAGTGCACCCCTATATATTGTTCGATTTTTTTTTCAAAAACTAACTCTTTCAAATTAGTAAAAATGAAAATTTATTCTTACCAATTAAATGTTATTCCAAGAAAAAATTGTGGCCAATATGTATATCGTTTCATTAAAGGATAAGTAACAACAGGTATTAATGAAATTATTCCAAGAGCAATTGATGGCATATTTAATTGTATTAATATAAAAAACCCTAATATTAATTGTATACCTGTCCATATTAATCCTTGTTTTATTGTTATTTCACCACTAGCTATTGGCCTTGATTTTGTTCTTTCAACACGTTGATCAAATTCTCTATCCCAAAGATCATTTATTGTACAACCAGCACCTCTCATTAAAATTGTTCCAATACCAAATAAACCCATTAACATACAATTATGTAATGTTGTACCAGCAAATGCAATACTCCATGCACCTGGTAAAAATAATAACCATGAACCAATAGGTTTATCAATACGACTTAAACGAACATATGGCTGTATTGATTTTGGAATAATATCATAGATATTTTTTGGACGATGAAATGGTGACTTATGATGTCTTTGTTGTTGTTGTTGTGAATGAATTGATGCTGCTGTTATACGAATAATTGACGCACGAAATATCAATGGACATGTTTTACGAAATAATAGAATCATTAAAAGAATCTAGAATAACATTTATTTAGAAAAGAAAAACAAACAAATAGCTCATGAGCTGGATTTACTAGTGACATTTGCACGAAAAAAAAACAAAATACTCTACCTTGCATGCAAAAAGAAAATATAAGAAATTATGATGATTTATACTCTTTCCATATGCGTTCAAAGAGTGGTTTACAATAAACTTTTGAACGTAATTTCGTACAAAGTAAAAATGCACCGGACATTTTTCGATGTAAAGAATATGAATCTTCTGGTGGTGGTGTTAAACGATGTTTAAGCATAACTGGTATTAATTTATGTATATTTTTTGTTGTACTTTGTAAACCAAAATCAAATTTATCATCTGTACGAAAACCTTCACCTAATATCATAACAGCATCAACATGTGCATTTACCATTTCACGTGTTTCATAACCAGTTAAAAATCCACATTTAATTGATAAATCTCGAATACGTTCAGGATCATTATCAGCTGAAGCACGAATTATTTTTATATAAGTATCAATAAATATTGGATTAAAAGTACGTGATGCACCAAAGTCTATAAGACCAATTGTTTTATCTATTGGATTATATAAAAAATTTGACCAATTTGGATCGGTTTGCATCGCTTTAAATTTAAATAATTCTAATAAACATACTTCTAATATTGATTTACCAATAAGATCACGTGTTTCTTGATCGGCATTAACGGCTTTATCAAGAGTAATACCATCGAAATATGTTGTTGTTAAAACATTTTTTGTTGATAAATTATCTATTATATCAGGTATACGATATAATGGATAATCTCTAAACCAATATTGAAAACGACGACCCCAGTCAGCTTCACGTATATAATCAACTTCCCAATTTAATTCACGTTTAGCAACTTTTATAACAGTTTCAATATACAAACCTCGAGGTATAATATTCCAAAAATTGAGTAATGCAACTAAATTATTAATATCACTTTCAATTGATTTACCTACACCGGGATATTGAATTTTAACAGCAACACGTCTTTTATTATCTTTTAAAATACCATAATGAACTTGACCAATACTAAAATATAAAAAAATCAAAAATTATTGTTCATTAATAGAAGAAAAACTAAAGTAAATTTAACCTCGCAGCAGCAAATGGTCGATCATGAAATTCTTCAAATTGATCACGCCAGTTAGCACCAAATTCATTCGTCATTACTTCATTCATTTGCCATTCAGGCATAAAATCTGCTTGCTGACGAACACGTTCAAATATTTGTTGAACATCTTCTTGAATAAGAAAATTATCTAAAACAAAAATCAATATTTAAAAAAGAAAAGATAAATAAGAAAAAAAAAAGAAAATTAAATTTTTTACCTTGAATACTTATCATTTGACCTAATTTAAGTGCAGCACCACGTACTTTACATAATGTATTAACAATACGTTCAGCATTAGCTTTAGATAAATATGGCGAAAGAGCAGCGTTTGAAGATACTGTTTCAAGTCCAACTGAACGTCGAACTATTGAACCTAAAGCACCAACACCAAGACCAGCAGCAAGAGAACCAAAACTTGCTAAACGACCAATTCTTGTTGTTGGAACAGATCGTGCTTGAGCTTCCATATTTGTTGGTGGTGGTATTGAAATTAAATTTTGGTTTTCCTCCAATATTAATGGTGATGTTGGTTCATCTATTGTAGAAGAAGTTGATTTAACTTTTACCGAATCTATTGTAGTTGTTGGTGTAAAGAAGTTAACTGGTTTTTCAGTCGGATGATATGGAACATTATCTATTACTTTGTCAGATATTAATTGTTCAGATTTTTGTTCAATAGGCGATGATTCTACTACAGGAGTAGAATCTATTTTAGGATGAGCTGAAATTAGAATTTGATCTGTAGCTAGACTAGTTGTTGTTATTATTGTTTTCACTGTTGGTGTATCTATGGTAGGAGGATGAGCGGAAATTGAAACTTTTTCTTGTACTAAATTATTGGTTCTTGTCACTGTAGATAGATTCTTCTCAGGAAGAGTTGGGATTAAAATTTTATCTCTATTTAAAATAGTTGCAGTTGTTATTCTATCTTCGATTGGTTGAGTTACAAATGTTCTTGTTGATGGTGGTGAAGATCGAATAGCATTAGTCATTGCAATACCACTTTGACGAATAAGAACACTTGATTTCCATGTTGTCTTAGATATAGTATTCGAAATATTAATTCGAGTCAATTGATCGAAACCATTTGATATTAATTCAGTTAAAGGTTCAATTATATAAGATGAACGTCGACGAGGATCACCTGATTTAGTCGCTTCATTAATTATTTGTTGACTTAATTGAGTCAATCCACGTAGAAAACGACCTGCATCTGACAAACGATAAGACATCTAAAACGAGAAAAAAAAAATCGTAATTTTTATTGATAACAATAATAATAATATTAATAATAAATAAGGAAAACAAAAAAGAATTCTCTCTTTTTCTTTTATGTATGTTATCCTAAATTTCAATTTCATCTCCATTTATATAATCATGCATAGCATATGCCCATGTCCATTGACGTGCTTTTTGTTCATATTGTTCACGATCATTCGTATATAAATCAGCTGCTTCTCGATTCATACATATATGTGAATATGGATCACTTAATAATGATTGTACTGATATAAGTACTTTAGATATTGTTAATGCTAAACTCCAATTTGAACCAAATGAATCAAGACCAATATCACCATGAATATTTATATTTGGATGAAAAATTTTTGTTATAAAACGTACAACTGGAGGAATCATTGGATAACTAAATAAAGAATATATATTACAAATGTATTTTTTAATTTTTAAGACTTACGATTGAGGAATATGTAAATAGAGATAAAAAATACCACCTGAAAAATAAGACAAAATTTGTCAAATAAAAAATAATAGAGCAAACGATTTAGTGACTATAGACCTTCATAAGGTGATGAACTAGGACCCCAAATAGAAGCATGCCAATGACAACAAGATGAATCTAATGGTTCAGCACGTATTCCATCAGGTGGGTCATCCTAAAATTAAAGTAGAAAAATTAAAATTGTACAGTAGTGGACAAAAATTTCGGTCGCAGGGGAGGGGGAGAGAGAGGATTTCTCACCTATTATAATAGATACTGAAAGATTGAAAATTTGTGTATACGTACTTCGTCTTTCTTTGAACATCATAACTCCGAAAAAGTTCATAGATCCTTTCTAGCACTTTAGTCATTATATTGTAATAGTTGATATGAAGAAAATTTTTAGAAAAGTTATTTCTACAATTGGACATTAGATCCTGGAAGTTTCATAAACAAACTGAGTACTAATAACATAGTTATGATTATCATTTGAATGAAGCAGTCTAAAGACGCCACTATTCAAGCAAGTTAACTCATCTTTTGGGTAAAGAATGATCATAGATTGAACTTTAATTCGACTCAAAAGCATCAAAAATGATTCATGTATTTCATAAGAGAGTAGTGAAAAACTGACTAGGCAATCCTTTTCAGATTCAAAAGCTTAATGCAAGCACAGATATTATCCATCATAATTATCTATGTACTTAAGCAATTGAAGTAGAATTGTGTCTCTGACCTATTCTTTTGATGAAGTATGTGGAGAAAAATTTTCAGGATTCCAACATTTATCATGGTTAAGAACCTGTAGAGTAAACAGTTTTGTCATTTATAGAAAATCTATTAATTCAGTAAAACAAAAATACATACACGTAAAGCACGAATTTCACTTTGTAATCGTCTATGACGCCACAATGTTGGTTGCATTTGCCCATTATTTTCAAACTGAAAATGAAAAAACAAAAAAAAAACCTATTCTCGAAGTTTATTTTAATACTTACTCGAATTCCCGTATCACTTAAACATATAAAACAACTGGAACTTCGAATTCTGAAAAGAAACGTATTGATTTTATTTAAATAGAAATAATCTTACAGTTTATCACCGTTCAAGAATCTCAAATTGGAATTCCCGGTCGAATACTTTTTCTCGTAAAGAATATCGTTTAGGGAATGTTGAAAATTTTTCATATGAAATTAATACTCGAGCTTCTTAGGGACCTTTTCTTAATCATATTTTGAATAACGAAGGAAGTCGCCCACCAGAGAAAGATTAAATATACAAAAGTACTAAATTAGAGTTGATTTTTTCATATAATGATACGATGAATCTTATGTATTACTAAATTAGCTCGCTAAATTTACTATTTGTTTTAGAAGTCTATCCAAAATATATTCATGTACTACATCTCAACAAATCAATATGCGTATGTCCGTATAGTGCTTTATTTGAGCTGATGTTGACTATACCTCCATTATCTTAACTGTACATATCGACTTTTTATTTAATGCAAAATGTTGTAAAATACATGATGTAGTTTACTTACTAGTTATTTATCAACGAATCATCTCTCTCGGCTGATTCTTCAAATTAATGATATACAAAATTTTTATCACATCAAGAGATTAGTTGTAGAACACACAGCACGTTTTCTTTTATCTTGTGATGCAAATATGATCTTTTGACTCTCTCTCTACTACTATAATTAACACCACGTGAGAGAAAAGAATGATTTGAGAATAAATAGTCTTTCGTTAACATAAATATGAAGGAAACGAGAGGCGTCTGTCCAGTTCATATTCATTCATAATGATTGTTATTAGTTTGTGAATAAATGAAAAAAAAAACGAAAAGAAATGTCCGATGACCCATAGAGTACAAGAATTAGATATTCGGAATCAACACAGTGAACTGTATACAATCATGTATTAGTGGACGAAAACGTGAGTCATCTATTGAGAAATTTTTCTCATAATATTCGTTCTCAAACTCCCAGCTTAAAATCTTCTATGCAAAACTTTCATACGGTTTAGCTAATTGATCCGATCATTTCTTTTTTTTTTCTGTCACACATGAATACACTCTACTCGATCGATTACATCTTTACTGAAGACGTTTTGAAGGACTTCTTATCATCGGTTCAGATACATTGAGTGTAGCTCATCAGTGGGCTTTTTATCGGCTT